TTGGTGATGGCGCCGCTGGCCCGCTTCAGTGTTTAGCGTCCATGTCCATCCATCCTTGTGGTTGGGGACGGATAGGCTGCCCCCCATTCGTTCTCGATGTCGGTAGCTGGGAGTTTTCCGTGGCTCCGAGTCCGACTTGCCCGTCCGTTGTTGGATCCTCCGTCATTGGGACCGGCCGATGGTCTTGGCCTCTGCAGTTTTGCAGCCGAAAACAAGGTGCCATGAGAGCGTTGTTTCCCCCCTTTTTTCGTAGTGGCAAGATACAGTATTAGTTGAGGAATCCTTGAGAGGAACTTTTGGTGTCCGCAGCGTCGAGCACGAGGCGAGGGAAGATCTTGGAAACGTGATGGTGGAAAGCCGCCTGTAAGCAAGAAAGACGGCCGCCACCAGGCCCAGGGCATTCCATTCCACCTTGGGCCCTCATCTCGGCGGCGTCGGCGGATTCTGCGACTGCATGTGGCGGCACCGAGGTATGTAGGTATTCATAGAAAGCGCCAACCAAGTGCAGTGAGTGTTGACAGTTGGATAGCATGAGGTTGGCATGGTTGGCAGATGTGGTTATGCTTCCAAAGAGTCGCAACGGACCGGTCGACGCCGCAGTTACTCTGGGGTTGCGTTGCATTGAAGAGTCGGACGACGGAGCACTTTTGGATAGTTAGAAATGTGCAGGGAAAATGCTGCTTAATAACGCAAGTGTCGTCAACGTGCACCAACGCAACCCAGTTTTCCCTGAATGAAAAGTCCCTCGGTTTCCCAGGCTGAGACAGGCGATGGTTTGTCGTTAATGAGGCACCGCACCCGGATCCGAAACGGACGAGAGGGAGAGGGAGAGAAAGAAGGCTTGAGGTACCTCTGTACCTTTCAGATACAGGTGAGAGAGTTCTGGGGTGGCGCGGCGCGAAGCGAAGAGGACCTGGGCGATTAGGGTCAGGTAGGTAGGCCCTTGATGCTTGAGTACGGAGTAGCGCGCTCGCCTTACGCAGAGTGACAGATACTCAAGACTGCCAAGGCCCGTATGGGTTCTCTCGCCATGTTTGGCTCGGTGAGGATGTGGGAACGACTGTGTATTCGGAGAGAAGCTGGACGTCAGCGGTGAGGTGTGAACTTTGAAGGAACCACCCCAGAAGCATCTATAGACGGGAGTACAGAGTACAAAGGTAAGGTACCTTGAGGTGCGCAGTCGATGAGATGGTGCGCGATACGTACCCAGCAACGAGACATCTAAGCGAGCTACCACCCAAGGCAGCCTAGGGGCGGGTGTCTCCTCGACGGGGAAGGTGGAAAGGCAACCAACCCCCTTTCCTCTTGCACAGGGAGTTTCCGCGTGCAATTTTTTTCTCTCTTCCCCAGGCCCTCTGCCTCACACTAAGCTAAGGATAGACTCATTCAACCTTCAGGTGGTTCAGGCTTCAGCACGCTCCAGGCTCTAGCAATGAGCGCTGCCGAGCGATTGGTCCGTCTGGAGCATCGGAGAAGATGCCGTGTATGGGTATCCAAGAGGGTAGCTGCAGGTCCCGTAGGGTGGCATCAAACCTTAAGCATGGGGATCGCGCTTGCGAGCTGGTTAGGTAAAAAGGTTGCTCGTAATGCTTGTTATTGAGAAGGGTTTTCTATTCAACACCCATGGTAATGACTGAGTATACACCTACGCCTGTCCATCAAATGTTTCTAGGTGTGCCGAGAAGACAGGCATTCGTACGGATAACTTTTGACATGTGGGAAGAGACATTGCCATTCTAGTTGCATCTTGGATCCCGCCGAACGCCGCGCAAGAGCGGGCACACCCCGTCCTACCTTCCTTTGGTTGAAAGTTAAGACATTCTGCATCCGATTACCATTCGATTATTAGCTTATTGCCCAAGGCAACTCAACTTTGGTCAGAAAATGCTCCTGGGAGAGAAAATTGCGCAAAAACCTTGCGCATAACCGTGTTGTATTGTCTACGACCCACGTCAACTGTTTACAGCAGTGGCATCAGCCGCAACGCAACCCAGCATTATGCAATACAACACCGCATAGCAAGCGAACATGAACTCCCACACATGCTCGCCTATCCGTGATGGACGCTTGTGACCGAGGTAATATTCCGACTCGATCTAGACAATGGCCTGCATAAAGACTGCCTGCACGGAATGCTGAGTACCGCGGGCGCCAGGTTTTCATCTCCTAGCCTAACATTATCACTTCCTTCATGAAGGGGGACGGCCTAGGCTCGTATCTCCTCGACTGTACGCAGGAAAACAAATGATCTATCTCTGTTGGCATTTGCATGCCCGATCTTCCCCTTGCGCTAAAGCCAAGGCAATGAACTGTGTCTCTACCGTCTACGAGAAGTGCGAGACAAGCTCGTCCGGGGAACGGGGATTTTGCACGGCAGACAGATAGTCGCCTCCCAATTTCTCAAGACACATACGGCAAGTCTGTGTACGTAGCAGACCATGCCGGCGACCAACAACAGCCGGGAAAACTTCAGAACAATGACAGGTCTGGACTAAGGTGCTCCGTAGTTGTGCAGGTTCACTCCCGAGCCGGGAAACCGGAAATCCCGGGGCATGTGTGTGATCCGAGGGCGGGCGAGACGGGTAAGGTAAAGTCGTCAGTGATCGGGGGCCCATTCCACTGGTCGAGCAACGAGACACAATACACGTGTACGGAGGGAGTAGCGCGCCGATGAGGTGCTCAATCGCTCATTGTCATGGAGAAGACCGGCGTCGGTTTGAGACCGGCGACAGCCACTTTGGTCGGAAATGGCCCCACATTACAACTAAGTCCCAATGAGGTAATGGTTTCGATAACCGCTAGCTAGCAATCTCACCTCTAGGCTCTAGCTTAAGACAATGATTGTGCACTAACACGGCAGTGCACGGGTGCCAGAGGATCATGGCTCCTCGATGTTTCTTGGCAGAATAAGCGTACGTCAAGATCGTGGCTATTAGTAAGGACTTGGGCGACTCTTATTCAGGCCCCTTGACACAAGAGTCGTAAGGCCATATTCCGTGACTCCAATTTTGAGAGATATCCAAGGCGGAGGGTCTATGAAAACATGTCCCACTGCCTTGTGTGAATGCCGGCGGAATAGTCCCGGGGCAGAGTTATCATTGCGCCTCAATTGGTGATTGTGTAATATACGCAGTGGAATTCCACTGTCTCGATATTTAATCAAGGCATCGAACAAGTTCAGGGCCTAGTTTGTGGACTAGACCACTGCAATACTGATGCATCTATATGTGTCTCACTTGCCAAGATTCGCAATGGACATTCTGGGTTAAGCTCAAGCGCCTCTGGCTGAGACAAGAAAACATGGCTATTGAGATGATCGAGGCGTTACAAACACGAGTCCAAAGACGATTGAAGATGCTGTTAGGTACCTAAGGTAGGTAAGCCGGTGCTCGGTGGCTCAGTAGCTCCGTGTATAAGTCATACGGGAGGAGGATCAAACTCGGGCGGGAAGGACCCTGACTCAAGGGGTGCACACTGCACCGTGCATGAGACGGCAGCGAACATGACGAAGAAATTGATAAAAGAAATGCGTGTTGAAGAATCGTGCGGGAGAGAGCAACTTGGAGCAAGAACAAGACTAGACAGGTACGAGTGATAGGTTGGCAATTGCATGAGGCAAGGGCCCCTACCTACCCTGCGTGCCTGCCCTGCTCGGAAACGTGCTAATCAAATGAAAAAGGGAAGGGCCGTCCAGGTTCCCGCGGTGCGTGCTGCCAGTGCCTGCCCATTCAACGTAGCCCGGGCGAAGAAAGAGCTAGAGTGCTATCCGTACGGAGTAGAGTCGATCCCTGAAGAAGAAATCCGGAATTCTGGAATTTAGGCCGGTGAAACCGGGAGGCATGCTTTGGCGACAGGAAGGGGGGCCGGCAGGCGGAGGTGGCTTCCCACTCGGGTCCATTGACGAGCAAGGAAGGAGGGAGGGATGGAGGCATCCACGGCGCCACGCATCGAGCGAACGAGGACGAAGGAAGGAACCCTCAGGCTCAATCCGGGCAGGTGAGGGGAACGCTTGCGGAAAGCTGGCCCATCATCTCCATGAGGTATCACCTACCAACCACCTATCGACCTACCTTACACGTAAGGGCATGGATAGATAAGGAAGGAGACGGGAAACTTGCAAGTTGCCCGAACGCCTCCCCAGGCTCCACGCTCCCTTGGGTTTGCGGTGCCTCTTGACCAGGTATCTTTACTAAGGTATTTAGAACCCTTGAGAAGTTGAGGTGGACTCATGGGCTTGGCTAAGGTCCCTGCCTACCCCCGAAAGGAAGGCAACGTTTTATCTCAGGATGAGGATTCGGGGGAACAAGGGCTCAGGTGTCAAGGTTCCGACCGATCTTGGCTAAGGTTCTTTGCTGTGCCATTAGGCTGTTGCGGTAAGATAAGGTAGTATGTACGGCAGCGGTACGAATTCCGGGGTACATATATCGATTCAGACAAAGTACCGTATTGCCAACCTGAAGTCTACTATACCTTAACTACAAAAAAAAAACCGTCGCTGCTACCCTTGCGGACATCCTACGGGTACGGACACGGGGGCCGGCGGTTGACGATGTGGAGACCAACGTGCCCGGTGAGTTCAAAGTTTGCAAGAGCCTGGCAGTTGAACTCTCATACATTATTTGTCTCCCCGTCCCGATCTCCCTGGTGGAAACGACGACACACAATATCCAGATGCAAGATTAATTTATCCGTGTTCTGTACGAAGTATACCTCGGTGCTCTTGCATCGCCTGATTGGTATATACGTAATCTCTCGTTGGTATACGTTAGGTACCTTACTATGGGGTGGCTTACCTTACTGGTAGATCGAGAGTTTCGGTAGCCGGGCCAGTACTCTGCCTTACGTAAGTTAACTACGGATATCTTCAGGTCCCTTACCTTACCTACGAAGTACCTTAGGTTGTGGAAAGAACCATCACTGCTTGCCTGCCCGAGTTGCTCGCACAGGCCACATCGTGTCTTTCCCATCCTCAATGACGGGTTCCACTGGCAGATCCATAAAGACGCGCCCTGTCATTTTTTCCTATCCGTTCGATCAAGCCAATCTGGTCAAGTTCTTCCATAACATAAAGCCAACAACCACAAACGCAGCACAAATCTGGCACAATCTTCCATCGGGCTAATCCAACTGCCCACGCTCGGCTCAACTCCTGCCCCTCACTCATACCGGCTCCCCTACTAGTCAACTCGCTTCGAAAAAGAAGGAGAGACATGGCGCCAGACGCCTAGCCCCCCTGGCTGACAGCAATTCCCAAGGGACTGGAAATGGTTGCATGCACCTCAGGACATACCCCCTCCTTTTGGCATTGTCTCCAGACCCACGAGTCCACGACGCCGTGATGGCAATTTCCCCCTCCCAGGTTCGCTTTCCCTCGCCCTCTCTCGCGAGCACTCAAGTTCCAACACCCATCCAACAGGTGACAGGTCCAGGGCCACCTTCATCCAAGCCATGCCGAGACCTCGATGCTCGCTCAGCCCGCAGGACTCAGGAGCCTGTCCGACCAAGCCTGGGCCAGCCCACTACAGCAGACAGATCACAGAGGCACTTTTTTTTTTATACCGATGTGCATTTCAACGAGCTAATACCAAGCTTGCCATGGATGGAAATCCATAGCGTCCGCCCTGCTCGTCTGGCGGTTCCATACCAGAGACAAGAGGGAAACCTCCATCGATGCGCTCGAATCGATGGCGCGTCCGTACACTACAGAGACGGAAACACTGTGAATCCTCCCCCGGAACTGGGTCTCGACACTCACCCGACCTACGGATATCTTTTGCTGAAAGGGTACGATATATCCTAGCTTGGGCTCGTGGACCACACGACTGGCATCCACTCAGCGGCCACTCCATGTCGACGGTCGACGCCAGCGCCAACACCAACGCTAACACTGGCAAACCACCACCACCAACAACATTACCTCACCCACACCCGCGCCCAGGATCATTACGCGCTAGTTGTTACGATGGGAGCACTGCAAATTGAGAAAGGTCTCTAACCCACCTCGTCTTCGTAATTCGGCAAACGAGAGAGTCCGATCAGCCCAATCGCCTGATCAGTGCTCCAGATTAAATGGGGTACTCTTTCAACCTGATCCTCGCAACATTCTTGGCCCCGGGCGTCTGCCGATGAACGACATGGAATTCGACGTTTCTTAAAGCCGGACAGCACCGGATTTGCAGCCGCGCCCGGGGCTCACTCGTACGAGATCAAAGGGCGAGATCCGCTGTGGGCTATTGCAACCACGGCTTAAGGCTCTTTTCGCCTAGCACCCGCCTGCCAATGCACCGCTCCACCCTCGGCACTCGAGAAGCCGCCCAAGCGCCTCATAAAATGCCGTGACAAGTCCCGGAGATGGACCAGACCACACCTTATATCACCCTGAATTTCGTCAAAGTCCCGAGACTCGGGTTGCGCCCGTTGCCCAAGGGCGCCTTGGTCACTCACCTTGATTACGCCACTCGTCGAACCTCTCCCTTCACGAGTCATGTTTCCGCGGTTTCACCACTCTGACTTGCTCATCATCACTCGTAACGGATGGTGTTCCCGAGACCTTTCCCCTCCTGCCGCCCCTTCTCTCCAGCGAGACTTGGCGAGGGGCTCACATTTTGTCATGTTCGACAGCATCGCAAAAGTCCCTGAATCATATCTCGCCCACCCTCCGGCCGAGAGACCGTTGATAGGGAAATGCACCGGCTTTGCCGCACGAGAACAGACCCATCAATTGTCACGTCAGTTGGCTCCTCTTCCCTTTTGCTAGACCCATCTGGCGGCCGCTCGCAAAAAGCCCCGCGCTTTTGTTGTTGAGAACTCGCGATTCTCTGAGGCCGAAGGGAAATGATCGATTAATTACTGCGCAAATCCTCCCGCAGCATCATTTTGCGAGCCGAGGCCAGGAAGTCTGTAACTCAGCTCGCGAGAAAGCATCTCAACGAATGCCTCGGTCGGGAATATGACGTTCACTTTTCCGGCGGAACGCTCAAGAGGGCATGTTTACAAAACGACGTTGCTAAACCGGCTCCTGTGACGATCTCATCGATGACGGTCCGCTGCGGTTCTTAATGATGCCAGCTATGATGCTACGCAGCCGGCATAGCCAATGGAGAGCACTGGTCACAGTGTAATCCTGGGTGTGGGAATCTGTCACTGTCAGAGGTATGACGGGGCAACGGCAGTTCTTCATCACTAATTCCTTTTTGATGCGTCGGTTCAGGGGTCGTTCATTGACAAGCCTCAGCCCTCTCGACTATTGACAGGGGCCCTCTTAGCAAGATCGACAAATTAGACTTGGTCTCCTCGGGGCAAGTGGCTGGTTCTCCCGCCCGAGCAGGCGTTCATCTATCCTAGAATACCGCAAGTTTCAGGCATCTGCCCAACCAAAGAAGGCAACCATAGCGACCAAAACACTACTATTGTGCGTACGAGTGCTCTCTGGAGTAAATGCCGTCCCACAGCTTCCGGTCCGAACAGACAGGACAGGAAAATAAGTCTTCTCTATCCGGAAACTTTCGTCCTCAGGCTCCAACAGATGGCTCGGCCCCATGCGGCGAGAACACATAGTAAATTATACACGACGGCTGATTGAAGGCTCTATTCGTCTAGCTATCAAGGCACAGTATTAGAGCCCATCTTGCGACCGCTCTTCGCGACTACTGACTGGTTCCTCGTCCTAGCCTCTAAGAGAGGTCGATCTCACCTTGGTGCCGACCACAATCAGAAGTTGTGGCCTTGTGAGGATATGACAGGTTGGTACAGGAACTCGTCACAGATGGGATGACAGCTGTTCAGTCACTGCAACTCCGCCGGAATATCCTACACGATGCAAGGACCATGCCAGTATTGGCTGCAAAAGGGCGACGCTAGCAGCCACCGGGAGTCCCTCTCTGGCCGTTCTAGAAACCTGCAGAGCTTCTGCGCGCGCACACCACACACATTAGCAGGGTTTACTGCAGGATTCAGGCCGATCTGTGGCTTGAGGTATGACAACCGACCGACTTCCTTTTCGAGCTTGCAGCCCGCTCCTGTCTTCCGGTCGGTCCTCAGGCCGGACCATCAATCGGCTGCCGTGCTACTCCGTTACGCACGTACGAGTTTCACGACCAAAAGTCGGCCTGCGATGGCTTACAAGGGACTCAAGCCGATGGTGGCGGGAGACAAACGTGGCATTTCATAGCGGAAACGCGGTTACCACCACAGCATCTCGGCATCATTCTCTTGTTACTCTGGTGCGAGGCATTTCGTCGAACCCACCTTGCGTATGCTAAGACAGAAACATTGTGTAGACACTGGCCTTTCACATCAACCGCGCCGCAATGGTGCATCTGCCCATGCCCTTAATTAGGAGCAGAGTGCACCCGCTCATCTTGTTGTCTGCTGCACAATTTCAGGGGCCGAATACTTGGTTCAGACCTGCTCTGAGATTTGCGCTGATTTGAGCAGGTGTATACAGAGTATTACAAGTCCATCAACTGACAGTAAGGCTAGTTCAGAAGCATTGCGCACAGGCGTCCCTTGGTATAAGGTAGGGCCTTCTTATACTTGTGTATCCGTATAGTCGGCTGATATAGAGACTTAATCATTCAAACTTAGCCTCAGTATCTCGTCAACTGCCATACCATCAACAGAGATGGTACTCTGCGGCATGTTGAGTCTTGATGCCGGTTATCAACTTGCACGGTGGGAGACGCACGACTCTTTGCAACAGGCGGCAGCAGATAACCTCAGTGGTAGCTGTCAGGGAGCTTCGCTTCTGCTTAGGTAGCAAACAGAAGCTATGTATCTGTTCGAAGTCGGTCCTATTTAGCCTGTACAGCGGCATTTACGATAGAGGCAACACTTGGAAGAACTAACAGCTTGTCTATCCTATATTTCCAATAGGTGCGATGTTTTCGCTTCACCGTCCTGAACCCTTGGTATTGGCTCGGTCACAGAGGGCCATACCCTTGCGCGCAACAAGGGTGGATCTAGTTAGACTCGGCATTGCGCTCCGTCCAGCAGCCAACCCTGCCCAACTCAGGTCGACGTCCCGATGGCATTCTTCGACAATGGCTGCCGCTGAACGGTTTCCCGGGAAGGGCTTCTCCAAAATTCCTGTCACCCTGTCTTGTTGTTCCCCACATCGTCGTTAGGCAGCAGGATAACGGGATGCCGCCATCACCACACATCGGGATTAATCACGGTGTGCTGCTGCTCATCTATGATGGGATCAGCTCATCGCGCATCTGCTCGGAGCTCCCACGCACCCCGGCACTGCAATGTTATATCTGGATCAACAGCAGACATTCCCTTGAGACGTAGGCTGGGCTAGAAGTGACCGTGGAATATGGGCTGGAATCACTGCGGCCGACATCCAGCGTACGCACAAATGTTTACATGTCAGCATCATCCAAAAAGCCCCTAACAGACTTGCCCATTCTCCGTACACCCCTTCGCGAACGAGCCGTCCATGGGTATTGAATTCGCCGAAACCCCACTTCCGCCTGACTTCCGGTGGCTGCTCAGCAGGGGCAAAGTTCACTGTAACCCTCTCGACAGGCCGGCAGTGAGAAGACGACCAGGGCCGTCACAGCTATGGAAAGTATATCACAAAAAACAAAAACAAAAAAATTGATGGAGGGAAGGAAAAAAAAAAAAGGAAGGGCACGCAATCTGTCGTTGCGAGGCTGATCCAGAGTGCGCCGTCGACAACGCGCAGAAGAGTTGCTTCCAATTCGGCGCATCGCGCAGCTGCTGTGTACAAAGTTACAAACCGACACAGATAACACACATAAATCAAGTGGCACCGGCACGGCAACACGTCTACGGATACAGAGTACAAGTTACGATTGAGGTCGACGCGAGACTTAGTCCTCTGCTAGGCACACCCACTGCCACACCACCTCATGATCTTAAACTCCGAGCCAGCTCGGCAATTGATATACTGAGGTCATGTCTTTCACCCTCTACATTCAGTGGACGGTAACTCAGCCACTGAGGTAATCAGCACAATTCATAGTTGGCACGTGAGGGGCAGATTGCGGTGCGGAATTCAACATCCCTGGGGTCATGTTCCCAAAGAGGCTTCACAAAGCGAATCAAGCTCTTAGTGGCTCCAACAGTTCGATCGGACGCTAAACAACCGCCCTCGTCCATGGAATGGGACTTGAGATACTGGCGAAGGGCCGAGCCAATTGTGCTGTGGGGGGGCTCGTTACTTCATCCTCCACAATGCCATGCCTTTGCGGAGCTGATTATCACCCAGGACGGGCGCGGCTCAGGCCATGTAGGTGTTACGGGGCCCGTTGGTGCGGTTGGCGCACACATCGTATGAGAGAGGGACCGCGAGGAACCAAGTACAAGGTCAGCGACCTTCCACTTTGATCGGCCCCCAAGTCACATCCATTGTGTGGGCGGCAGCGGTGCGAGATATCAATCCTCTTCACTAGCCTGCCCGGGGGGGCATGACAACGGGCTCGCCATGCTCGCGACTCGGTCAGGCTGGAATGCTTGCTGGGCATTGGACGCCTGTGGCTGACGATAGACGGGCCCGTCCGTTGCTCACAGCACGAGCGACGTTCCATGCGGCCTTCTACCAGCTTCGTGTTCCACCATGTTCGAACCTCGAAGGCTAATGGACTCTGGAGGGCTACACAAGGCTTTCCGGAGGTGGCTGGCACGATGCGTCCACTCCCGAAACTTACCTACGCAGTACGGATTGCCATGTGTCCGGCACCCATCCCGTCAACACCTACCTATATATCTAGTAATCGGGCGGTCCCTGACATTGCCATCTACTAATCGCCTGCAGGTCCAGAGAGGAATCTACCAGTCTTGTGACAAGGACTTGGAACTGTTGCTGCGCTCATCCGCGACATGTTGGCGACACAAGACCATGGGTTTCTTTGAAACTACCGGCAGCTGTATGGTAATTAACCCCTCGTGAGATTCCTTGAGCAGAGTTCGGATGAACGATCAACGGGCCGTTTGTTTGAAACGACTTTCGGAAAGGACTGAGAGATGCGATGTTGCGTTGAAAAGCTGGCGTAACATCGTGTGCGGACAACAGCTTACTGAGGCATACGGTGTACACTACAAAAAGGCCTCTCCGCTTCGTCTAAGAATAGCCGCGGTATTGCACACCAAACCCCCAAATCTATGACCGAAATCCTGGAGAGCAGATCCCCAGGCCGGCCGCGATGACACCACCCGGGCCCTGCACTTCGGAGCCGTTGTCCCCCTTCTGAGGATGACGTGGGCCCCCAATGTGCTCGAGCCATTCCAAGTCCAGCCACCGCTCCGTGGTTCTGATTGAAGGAAATTTTGCTTCCGGCGCTGGTTCCCAAGCTTCCCAACACCAACGGCTGGACTGGGGGGTCACCTGTCAAGACAAGCCCAGCTTACCTAGTCTTCGGACATGTTGATACTGGGGAGTAATCCTAGACATGACACACAGCCGGCCGCTACTTTAGCCTTCGACAGCTACCGACACTGTTCTCTCGCGGGCGACCATGCCTCCATCAACTCATGGATAGCCGATGTTCCCCGTTCGAGCGCACCGAAAGCACCGAAAGCACCAACCGCGTGAGCAGAGATCAGATAGCGCAGCATCCGAACCGCTAGCTCATCCAACGATACCATGGTCTTGGGAGACCGTCACCCGCATCTAATGCCCCTGGTGTTATCATATCCGCGTACAGATACGGATACTGTGTAGACAAATGAGGGTCCAAGAATGGCCATTTCCATCCATTCGAGTGTTCGCCCACTACAACTGGAGTCTGGAGGAGCCCCAAGGCATAATTTTTGAGCATACTTCATACTAGGTCTTTAATGGTGTTGAAGGTAGCCGCAACCGAAAGCCAAATATCCGATGCTATGGGCTTCTCATTTCAAAGTCCAGCATGCCGGGGTGGCTGGATGCTGAGAGAAGACTGCTACCGTGAGCACCTCAGCCTACGGATTATCCGTACACTATCCGTACCAGCACTTGCCATGTGCATGACGTTAGACTTCAGAGCCTACGGAGTACCAGTGCTCCATACCGCAAAACCGCCGAAAAAGGGACCCTGGATTCGCTCCGAATGAGCCGGGTGTGGCGCCTGGCTCACCCTCTAATGGAAGAGCACGTCGGAGCCCCCGTCATCGAGATTTGATCGTTTATCGCAATCCAATGCCGACCAACGTCGGTCCAGCGCGTCAGATGGTCTGATCAGCGACTAGCCTGTGTATAGGTTGTTTGAAACCCAAGGATCCGGCCAGTCTTTCTTCTCGCATCGCTCGCCACGAGGAGCAGTACGAGCAGCTGCAGAGACGCCATCATAGTAGGTATCCTACTTGCCTACTTTCCTACTTTCCTAGCGTTGCTGCTGGTCTGCGGCCCAGCCGAGGCCAGACCAGAGGGCCGTCTATCCTCAAGTGTGGCATGGCGGGCGCCGCCCACGCGGCGATGAGATGGGATGGCTGTCCCATGGATCCGTCTACGCCGCACGAGCGGCAGCCAGAGACTCAGAGTGTGCGCGCTCTCGCGTGCTCCTCTTCTGGAATTAACGTACTTATGCAACTCGGTATTCGTCTGTTGCCATTACCAATCTCTTATTATCGTCGAGTCCATCCGTAAGGCTAACTCGCTGCGGCACTGCGGACGACGCTTGCCAGGGGTCATCAGTCTAACCTTTCGGGACTTGGGTCTTCACAACATGGCACCGCCATGGCAATCTGGACCTGGGCCCTGTCCACGGCAGTCGTTCTTATTGGCATTTGTGCGCTTAGCCAAGGGAACCCCGATGCTGCATCCAACCGTTTGCGGCGCATCAAGAGGAAATGAAAATTACGGTGCCTGGCCAAAGCTTCCTTCCCCAAGCATGCTCTGGGATGGTCCTGGACTTCCTGGTCTCTCTTATGCGGATGATGTTGGTGGATTTGAGGCGGGGCCGATGATGGGGACCCCAGTGCCGTTGCGCCGTGGGATGAACGACCAGAAAGTTTTGACCCATTGCCAAGATTGGCTAATCGGCACTGGACATATTGCCTTGCCATTGCGATGGAGGAGCCGCCTCTTCAGATTTTGCTGCTTTGAGGCCCTTTGACTGGCCCAAACTGCCCATCTTTCCTATGCTATCCATCGACGGCCCGCCACATGTTAGAGAGGCAACCGGTGAAGAGGGGAAATGATGGTCCTGCCAACACGAACTTTCTCTTCCTTTCCCTTGGCGGCGGATGATCTGTGGTTCTCAAGGGGGCGGTCGGCCATCGAACTATCCGAGTGGTGGATGCCATGCCTACGGGACGTCGGAGCCCAGCCAGCTGCGGCTCCGTTATGACTAGTCTCCGTCAAACTGGAGGAGTCTCCGCCTAGCCGACATTTCATGTCTATGATGATCACGTCCTACGGCATAGGCAATGGAGACAGACAATGGGAGCACGTCACGCATGTTGGAATCGGACGGCAGGACTGCGCAGTTCCTTCATTCTCGACTCTGAACGAACTCCCTCTCCCCCCCCCCCCCCCCCCCCCCCCCCTCGAAGAAACCGGGAGACTGGGAGCCGTTGGAAGCTCGGGACCAACTCCCACAGTGCTAGGCCTTCTCGGTCAACTCAATAGACCGGCGTCAATACGAGCCACCGCAAGCCCAACCATCCTGGGTAGGTCTTTGAGTGAAGGCCAGCTCAAAATGAACCTTATGCACCTGTCGCGCCTCTTTCGAATTTCCCAGCCAACAGGGTAATTTCGTGAAGCCGACGGGCGAATGCTATGCCCGCGTCTGCCTTGCATCGCGATCAACAGCCGCCATGCGGATGACCTTTCCGACCTGTCTAAACGGACCTTACTGAGCGTACCAAGCCCACCTGCTACCTCCTTTTGCGGCATTGGACTAGCACATTCGAAGGAAGGAAGCGGCAGGAACCTCCCAAGATGTCAACGAAACCATTGCAGAAGATGTGCCCTTCCAATGATATGTCTGCGTGCGTTTCTTAGCCCCGGGAGCCTTGTACGCTTTGTACAAGATGAATGGGCTGCTAGCCTGTGGCTGCGAAGAAGGGAATCATGGTGGGTGTGTTATGTGTGTGTGCGCGTACCTCGCCGCAACTGTGCAGCGCGCGTACATGCAGTAGGCAGACCTTGAGGGTGCCCTCGACTCCCTATACTGCAGCCACTCTTCTTCGAGGTTGTCGAACTCCCTCACAGACAGTGCAGGGACGACGGGGGCATCGGCTAGCGGAGATGGTATCCCGCATCGCCCGTCGAGCAAAGCGCAGTGGTATGCGGGCGCGTGCCTCCCTGTGTCTGTCTGAGCACGTCTTTTTTTCGCCCAGTGGGCCCTATCCGTACAGTCGGGACAACCCATCGTCCAAGGCGCTGGATGTGTGGCCATCTCGAACAAGCACCTGGCATATGTCCTGTCCTGGCATGATGTTGGAGAGACAGGCACCGGACCCGTCGAAAGGGGGAAAGAAGAAGGAGACCGGGCCGCGGAGCGTAGTCTGTTTTTGTGGCAAGCTCGATCGGGACAGGTTACCGAGGCGAAGGAGGAATTTCGTTCCAAATCTCGTACGTAAAGCTGGGCAAGTGGAGGGAGCGGACAGAGAGGCACAGTTGATTTGATTCTTCCTCGCTTCCTAGTATGGAATCATTGGGGAGATGACAGATTTTCTGGCGTTGTTTCCTGTCTTTCTCCTCGACAAGGCGCGAGGGAATCCTTTCCGTGAGATAGATTCCCGAGGGGGGCATATGAAATTTTACCGAATGCAGGACGGTGAGCGGAAGTGCCATGCAATTCTGCGAGGCACCGCTCCTTCCTTCCTTCCTCCATACCCCCCCAATCTCTCCCTCTCTCTGTTCTTACTATCTTCCTTCTCCGGCAGGCAGGCTGGCAGGTTACTTGGCCCTCCTAGCCAAACGCAGCAGACGCAGCAGCCCACATACGGAAACGACATACGGGGAGGGGAGTCTAGGCGGAGGAGGACGAGGATTAAGGACGATACAGATGGCCCGAATGGAAAGCCCCTTTCCCTTTCCCTTCCCCCCCTTCTTCGGGTTTGCGGCGTAGGCATCATGGGACGAAGGATGAAGGAGGCCGGATGCTCGCTGCATCTACCTACCTGCAGCACAAAGTCCCTCTGGCGTCGTCATCGTCGTTCTCCCCCCCCTCTCTACCACGCCCTACATCTTCTTCCCCAGTTCTTCAGAGAGAGGTGAGAGACATGGTTGAGTTGACGCAGTGACAAGATGGCATATACACACACATCTACACCTACACGTATCTTGACGTTCATCCGGAAAGTATGTACCAGCAACTAGTAACAAAAGTAAAAGTGCGCTCTACATGCGTATATTCAGTATGGATTCAGTATTGGGCTCTTTGGGAGGGATAGGAGTTGACCCAGAGACGCACACATACACGTCCATCAACCAACCCCCTTGACGGAATATATATGCCGTGCCTCTTTTCCACAAACGTGCCCATTCCCCATTCGAGAGAGACCCGTAGACGAAGAGGTGAGAATGCATTTATCATGTTCATTGTGTAGATCGACTTGAGGAAAGAAATTGGCTACTAAACCCCTTTCTGATTCCCTTGTCGCCCTGCTGCATAGCTGTGGCCGGAAGCAGATAGGTCGAGCAGGAAGGATCATCGGGCCTTTTCTTCTTCTCTGCCCTTCTTTTCCCTTTCGTAAAGTACGGTACCCCACGGACTTGTGGCCATGGTCTCTGTGAGGGCGAGCAGGATACTTTGGCCATTTGAAAAGGGGAAAGACAAGTTCAGAGTGTACATATGTCACCTCAAGAAGAACACTTCCACTGAAAAGAAACCTCCAAACTCAAAGTCATGCTCGATGAAGTAAGTAAAACCTATAGACAAGGACTGCTTTCTCACTTTCCCTTCCTCAAATGCTATCTCAATTCCCTTTTACCCCCTTCCCTTCCCGGTCATTGTGTGTATGTTTGTAATGTTGGTGTAGTACCAATGAAAAAAGTTCAACCCGCCCTCCATGGAAAACAAAAAAAGTTGAATGTTTTTTTGTGTGATTTTGTCTAATCCGCTTTCATATCCCATTCCTCCGCCAGTGATGATGCTGCTGCTGCTGTACCCGGGTGCTACCACCACACCCCCCTTTTTTCATGCCTTTTTCTCCTCATTTTACCATTCTCGTTGGTTGTTACCAGAAACGTGAAAACCCCTCTCCCCTTCTGAACACCCCCTGTTCACAGGCATAGAATAGCCGGTGTCAAGGTAAGCAGGCAGGCAGGGAAAGGTTGATGTGAAGTATTTGAAAAAGAAGAAGAAAAATCAGCCCACCCAGCGTCTGGCGCTCTTGAACATCCTGACCCACGGGCCGAACTCTCCCCAGCCCTCGACCTGATCCGTGGGAACGTAGCTGCCGACGTCCGCCATGATGGTCCGCTCGGGATGGGGCATGAGCGCAAAGACTCTGCCGTCCCTGCTCCTGACACCAGCCACACCGCCAGGGCTGCCGTTCGGGTTGTACGGGTACGCTTCCGGCTCCGCGACCTTCAAGCGGTTGTCGACGTAGCGGAGGGGCACGAGGCCCTCGCCGCTCAGGTCCTCGAGGGCATTGGGGTTGGAGAAGGAGGCGCGGCCCTCGCCGTGGGAGACGGCGATGGGGAAGGACGAGCCGTCCATGCCGTGGAGGAAGACGGAGGGCGTGGCGGCGCGGGACTCGTCGATCTTGACCATGGCGAAGCGCGCCTCGAACTGCCTGCTGGCATTCTCTACGAACGTGGGCCAGTTCTCGGTGCCGGGGATCAACTCCTTGAGACGGGTGATCATCTGGCAGCCGTTGCAGACGCCCAGGGCGAAGGTGTCGGGCCTCTTGAAGAAGTTTTGAAACTCCTGGCGGGCGTGCTTGTGCTCGAGGATGGATTGGGCCCAGCCAACGCCGGCGCCAAAGACGTCGCCGTAGGAGAAGCCGCCGCCCGCCGCAACACCGACAAAGTCGGCGAGGGAGCGGCCTGCGAGGACGTCGGACATGTGGACGTCAATGGGGTCGAAGCCGGCGGCCTTGAAGGCGAAGGCCATCTCCTTGTGACTGTTGACACCCACCTCGCGGAGGATGGCGACGCGGGGCGCCTTGCGAAGGAGGCTGCCGAGGGAGGCCGTCAGGGGCATGATGTTCTCTGACGGGGAGAAGGTGAGGTTGTATGACAGACCGGGGTCGGCAGAGTCAGAGACGATGGCATACTCGCTGTCTGCGCATGTCGGGTTGTCTCTCTCCCTCTGCATGGCGTACGACGTCCTAGACCACCACTGCTGCATCTCGGCGCGGTCGAGGCTGGTAATGGGGGTGTGGCCGCCGTAGCGAATGTTGAGGGTCTGGTTGTCCTTGGCCTGGACGACACCGAATGTGCGGACGAGGCCGGGGGGAGGGCCGCAGGTAGCGAAGCAGCGCTTGAAGTTGGTCTCGTCTTCCTTGCGGACCTGGAAGACAGCACCGAGCTCCTCGTGGAAGAGGGCTTCGAGGATGTCGTTGGGGGAGCCGGACTTGGCGATGCCGTCGAGCATGAGGTCGGCGCCGCAGCGGCCGGCGAACATCATCTCGGCGACCGTGGTCAGCAGACCACCATCTGAGACGTCGTGGTAGGCAAGAACGATGCCGCTCTTGTGTAGTTGCTGCAGAGCATCAAAGTAGTCCGTGATAAGATCCACGTTGCGCACGTCCGGTGCCTCGTCGCCCATCTGTCCCAGTGATTGCGCCAGGGCGGAGCCGCCCATGGCCTTCTTGCCCTCAGCGAGGTCGACGTAGATGAGGATCGTCTCGCCGACGTCTTCAATGCGGCGCAGTTGAGGAGTCCATGTGTTGCGGACATCCTCAACGACGGTGACGGCGGTGATGATGACGGACATCGGCGCCGTAACGCTCTTGGCCTCGCCAGACTCGCGGTCCTTCCATGAGGCCTTCATGGACGTGGAGTCCTTGCCGACGGGAATGGAGATCTTAAGCTGGGGGCACAGCTCCATGCCGATGGCACGGACAGCCTCGTAGAGACCAGCACCTTCGCCAGGGTGGTTGACGGCGGCCATCCAGTTGGCGGACAGCTTTACGCGGTCGAGGCGGCCCAGGATGTCAGCGGCGCCCATGTTGAGAAGACTCTCGGCGACGGCCATGCGAGCCGAAGCGGCGGGGGAGATGAGGGCCAATTGAGGCTTCTCGCCCATTGCCATGACCTCGCCGGTGCGAGTCTTGGAGTCAAGGCTGAATGAGGTTGCCGTGACGGCGCAGTCAGCGACGGGGGTCTGCCAGGGGCCGACCATCTGGTCGCGAATGGAGAGACCTCCGACGGTTCTGTCACCAATGGTGATGAGGAATGACTTGGAGCCGACGGCAGGCATACGGAAGACGCGCTCAGTGGCGGCGGTGATGAGGGCAGCGGTGTTGGTGGCCTCGGCAGCACCGGCGGAAGCGAGGGCCTCAGCAGCGTTGAAAGCAGGGAGTTCCAATCTGCGGGACTCGACGACACGCTCGAGACGGCGGCCGGGAGGGAAGAGGGCGTTGAATGGCAGGTCAATAGGCATTGGCTGCTCCGGTGAGTCGCGGTCACTGAGGGTCAACTTGGCGTTGCCTTGGGCGTCCTGGGCGGCGACGGTTCCCACGTCGGAAAAGGGGCATCGTTCACGACCTGTTGTACGGATAAGCATGATACAATATTGGCGCAGACATGATAGAGAGAAACTCACGGCAGATGCTGACGAAACGGTTGATGTTCTCCTTGTTGACGAGCAGGACGTAACGCTCCTGGGCCTCATTGCACCAAATCTGCAAGGGGCTCAAGCTGCTGTCCGCGCTGTGAACCTGGCGCAGCTCGAACTTTCCGCCGAAGCCGGCATCCTTGACGAGCTCGGGAAGAGCGTTGGACAAACCACCAGCACCGACATCGTGAATCATGGCAATGGGGTTCTGGTCGCCGAGAGCGGCGCAGGTGTCGATGACCATCTGGGCGCGGCGCTCCATCTCAGGGTTGCCACGCTGGACACTGGCGAAGTCGAGCTCGGCAGTGGCCTCGCTAGAGTCGTTGGAAGAGGCAGCTCCTCCGCCGAGACCGATGAGCATGGCGGGACCACCGAGAACAATGGCATGGGCGCCATCGTGGACGTCGCCGAGCTCCTTGAGGGCGTGCTGAGGGCGGACTGTACCGACACCGCCAGCAATCATGATGGGCTTGTGGTATCCGCGCCACTCGGGAGACTCCTCCTTGCCGACGTTGGTCAGAAGAGTGCGGAAGCAACCCAGAAGGCAAGGTCTTCCGAACTCGTTGTTGAAGCGGGCGCTACCGATGGGGGCCTCAAGCATGATATCGAGACTGCTGGCGAAGTGGGCGGGCTTGCCCAGGTCGACCTCCCAAGGGGCCTTCTCATCGGGGATCAACAGGTCAGAGACCCAGAAACCGCAGAGACCTGCCTTGGGAGCAGAGCCCCGACCAACGGCACCCTCATCACGAATCTCACCTCCAGCACCGGTGGCGGCACCAGGGAAAGGCGAAATGGCTGTGGGGTGGTTGTGCGTCTCAACCTTGACGAGGACGTGGACGACCTCCTTGGTGAGCTTCCAGCTGCCAGTGGAGTAGTCGGGGGCCCAGAAGCTGGCAGTCTCACCCTGGAGAACGGCGGCGTTGTCGCTGTAGGCGGAGACGGTGTACTCGGGGTTGGACTTGTGGGTGTTCTTGATCATCTCGAAGAGACTCTTGCCCATGCGTTGTTGATCAATGGTCCAGTTGGCGTTGAACTGCTTGTGGCGGCAGTGCTCCGAGTTGACCTGAGCGAACATGAAAAGCTCCACATCGTGGGGGTTGCGTCCGAGGTTCTTGAAGACCTGGACGAGGTACTCAATCTCAGAGTCATCCAGAGCCAGACCGAACTGCTTGTTGTAAGACTTGAGAGTCTCAACGGCCTTTGCGGCATCGGCGTTCTGAATATCGTCGCCCAGAATGTCGACAATCTCCAATGGAAACCGTTGTCCCTCAATGAACATGGCCGACAGATCAGGGCGCGACAGACCAATTGTCTCTGTCATACGGTCGTAGACGACATCCTTGAAAGCGATCTCATCGTCAGAGACGGTGTTCTCAAAGGTGAGGGTGATGGCCCTGCCGCGCTCGATACGGTCAATGTTGTCTGCGAGGCCGCAGACGTGAGTGATGCTGGTTCCCTTTGAGGACCAGGGCGAGATGTTCCGCGGGGTAATGTAGTAGGTTTTTTGGATATCAGTGTTTTCGGCAATCTGGGCGATTGTCTGGTCGGGTAAGCCGAGCCATTTTGTCAGCTTTTGCTGGACAATGAGGTTGTTGTCACTGTTCTTGAGGTGGACGTAGTAGACCCAGATGCCGGCAACGCTGGCGACCTTGTTTGAAGCAGCGTCGAGCTTGTTGATGCGCGTCTTGAGCTCTTCGGCTTGCTTGGTGGTGTAGGCCTCCTGGCCAACGAGGGTAAGAAACTCCATTCTGCCTACAGTGGGCGTAGGACACGGAGAACGGCCTTCGATCAAAAAGGAAGTCTCGCCCGGCGTTCGTGGATGTCGGGTTGGCGATAGAGATAAGTTTTTAGGCGGCGGCATCTTGTGAGTCTTCCGCTCCGAGATGGCGGGGTGATTTTGAAATCCTGGTGGGGCAGCTGCAGATAGGCGGCCGATAATGAAAATCGGAGGCTTTGGAGACTTTTTTTTTTTCTTGTCGACTGCAAGGCGCGGGGCACTAGACTTATTTTGTGGCGGTGGAGTGGCTCTCCCGCATTTTGCGCATTCACCGCGACAAATGTCACTGTCAGTCCCCTCAAACCACAAACGTTGCTGCTTGACGAGGTCCACGTCCGGGAGTCAGGGGCGCATGAATTGTGGCTGGTGTCCTCTTTCTACGCGTACCCACGCAGACATGTATCCGTTTGAACAGGACTGAAGTGGTGACTGCCCGCTGTCGGAGCATTCGTCCGTACCTCCAGGTTCCAAGTTGTCAGTGTGGCTTGTGGGCTGGGTGTGGCTGGTGAGGTCAAGCGGAAAGAGACGGCCTAGAATAAACCAAGACGAAGAGGCCGGTGAGGGCGAACAAGAACCATCCCAGAGACGTCGTGACTAGTGCTTCACCACGTCGACTCTCGAGACCATCACTGGTCAGAGCCTGTGTCGAATCACGAATCGACTTGGGATGCATGACCGAGGGCCAACCCGAGCACAGCAAGGAAGCCAACCGTTCATGCTCAGGCCTGCCATCGCAAAATTTCCATCCGATGGTGCCGAACTCAGGTCAATCACAATCTACATTGTGCAGCTGCCAACAACTCTTACATGTCGATGTACTCTAGCAATTCTGGCAGAGCAAGGAAAATTCTAGCGTGCCCGTCCCGTCGTAGCGGCAGCGTAGAGGGCCGTCAGTTTGTATGCGTAAGGTTGTTCAGGTCGTGCGTGCGTGACCTTTCCGCTGCGAGTCCCGCTGTAAGATCGCCCAAACTTTCGGGACGCCGGGACCCTCCCACGTCTCCGTGCGAGTGGCTGTCAGCTGGCGGCACTTCAGCTTTCCTGCTCTTCCGCCCGCGTCCTCCACTCCCGCCCAGGTGCTGAACCCTGTCAATGCCACATTCTTCCATTGTATTCAGCGGTACAGAAAAGGGCACTTGGGACATTTGGCAAGAGGGAAAAGGCGACGTTAGCGAAAAACAAGCAATTCGCTTCACTGGTGGGAACACTGGAAAGTCCATACCTGTCTTGGCTTCCGGATTGATTGGCTCCCCTAAAACAGATACCCATCTTCTCCAATTTCTTAGATCGGCCTCGACGACTCTGCGACTGCCCGCCCGCCGCGTTCCGCTTCGTCACTTCTCTTCCTTTCGACGCGTCCGTCGACTCTTGGGACGACTTAATCCGGTTCCCCTTTCCTCCCAACCTTATCCAACGTGTTTTTGTGCTCCCGACTTTGCTTCATTTCGCTCCAATATCTTGCGCGCCGCAGCATTAGCACCCTCTACCGCCGCAATCATGCGCTGGTTAACGTCCTTTGCGGGCTACTTGGCCCCCATCTTCCTCATCATGTCGCCAGTTCTCTCCTATAGCGACCAAGCCCTGTCGATGCACAAGAACAAGTCCAGCGCCGGCTTCTCTCTCGACATCCCGCTGATCATGCTCGTAGCCTCCCTGCTGAAGTGTGTTGAGAACATCTGCCCCGTCTCATCCGAAGTAAGCTGACACAATTCGCTTTTCCACAGGATCTTCTACTGGCCCGGCGCGCGATTCGATACTGCCTTGCTCATCCAGGCCCTCCTCATGATTGTGATGCAAGTCATCTTGCTCAAGATCGCTCTGGATCACCGATTGCCACCCTCGGCCAAAGGAGGAGAGGCTGCGACGCCCTTCGCCAATGTCAACGACGGTCCCGTCTTTGGCGCACAGAGGCCCTACCACTTCTGGCAGTGGAGGTCGCCCAAGCCGTGAGTTTTCTCGTCTTGCACAGCGCATTATGTGACACGACTAACAGCCGCCCATAGTTACTGGCAATTCCTCCTCTACCTCTTCATCGGCTTGACCGTCTGCGAACTGCTCCTCGCGCCCGTGCGACCCGTATACCAGACCTACTCCATGCTCATCGGCTACATCGGTCTCTCGGTCGAAGCGACGCTGCCCCTGCCCCAGATCTTCTCCAACTCGCGATCCAAGTCTTGCAAGGGCTTCCGCTTCTCCGTGCTGGCGAGCTGGCTGATTGGTGATGCCATGAAGATGTTCTGGTTCTTCACGTCAACGACCGAGATCCCCTGGGCATTTAAGCTGTGCGGCATGTTCCAGGCCGGATGCGACTCGTTCCTCGGTGTCCAGTATCTCATGTACGGAGATGGCGAGAAGGGTGAGATCAAGGAGCACCCCATGTCCCAGTATCCTCAGTACCCTAACGGGGTCTACAAGCCTCCTTTGCCCGAGCAGGTCAGTGGCAGGTCCAGTCCAGCCGGCCGAAGAACCTCTAGCCCCTTTGGCAAGGAGTTGCGATAAATCGCAGGTACCTCGATTACCTACTTCTTCTAATGTACGATGGTTATTTTGGTCCACGTTCCGCCGATATGTACGGATACGTCCCGCATAGCAGCGTTGTAAATTCTGCGAAGTGTTGCAAAAGATATGGGAGAGGCAGCTTAGACAGGGATTAGAAAAGGAGTTTCAGGGGCCAACACCTTAGGGCCAATGGTAATTGCCGTATGACTGCAGGGGTTTGATGAGCGAACAGCAGCTCAATCTTCTCTTGATGGTGGCCAACGTCGTTATCTAGCGTTAGTGAGTACTTTGCTTGCTGGTTTCCAAGACGGCGTTTGGCATCACGAATGGCGTTGGAAATATTGATCTGGGTGACGTACATACATCTGGATACCCAATTTATTTATACATGCGTCAAATTTTTGTTGGCATTTAGATTGATTTAGATGGACGAATGATGAGCCTGGCGACCAAGTCTTTCGTTAACTGAGCCTCACCAAACATCGCCGATACCCAGGAGTTGCAGAGGCTCCCAACCACCCACTTTTCGAGTTGGCCACCCAACTGACAACTACCGTACCACACCACCACCATCGTCAAATCCGATCTCGAAACGATTTACGGTTAGCAACTCTGAGAGCTCATATCCAGCACCAGATTCTTCTAGGTAGTCAAGAAGAAACGCTCACTTTTACCGACTTTCTTTTTTTTTCTCCCAATTTCCATATACAACGACCTATATATCCAGTTTTTTTTGTCTACTTTATACTTCATCCTACTGTTTACTCCTTCACCCGGCCAACCAGCAGGGAATTTCCCAAATCGTCGAAACAATTCTCCAGATACCCAAATCGACGTTAGACCAATTCGCAACTCGATATCTTAGCATAACGGTTTTTTGGAACCTTTTCAAGACGGCCTATCCACTTGCGATCTTAGCTAGTCTTGGAAGCGCCATCGCAGTGCCTCGGGCGCATCAGCAGCAATCATCCCAGTTCAGTTTCTAGCCTAGTGCTTGGGTGTTCCTTGCATCGCTCGAAGAGCAGTCAGACCTGAGCTCTTCAAGAAGTCATTCCATTTCGAGATCTGACTGCTTCGTGGGTTATTCTTTTATTAAACAAGAGCTCGGCTGGTCTGCGCGAGACTGGAGACGTAGGCGGGAATTGACTAAAGGTAAGCATGTGTAGTGCCTTTCTTATTGTCCAGAGAGTATTGAGAGACGAGTGCTCTGTAACAACTACAGTTCTTCTGGTTTGAACTCTCATCAGTCCCTTCAATGGACCTTCGCTTCCATTGAAAGTCACGAGAAGTGGCATGATGGTCATGCTTTGGGCTGTGCTTCATACGGGCCTTGGTCAATGTTGGAGCCTGCTTTCCGTCTTAGACATAAGTGTCAGTCATGGACAGAGTATTTGGGACAGTCTCGTCAAGATGTTGCCTGTCTCTCAATTGACGCTGTTGTCACTACCTAGCCTACACGTCCCCTTCTTCTGGCTACATCCCGTGCGTTGCTACTGCCTACAGCACTTCTTACCAACCCCCTTCAAGCATTCCTACCAGTGAGCTACACTTGACCTCAAAGGACTTCCATTCAGACAACATCTATCTTTTTCACCTTTCTTAAATTTCAGTCTCACTCACTTCCATACGCTTCAACTGACTGACCTGTTTAGTCTAAAGTCCACACTGGCTAAGTAAGGTACGTGGTCCTCAATCGGCAGGCACGCAACTGCGGAACCCGCTTCCTCGTGTAAGTCGATACGATTAAGCTGCCCCTTCCCAAATGCGCTCATCACCGCCTTCCTGGACTTCTGGACAGCACCTCCTCCCATGAGATCAGTCTTACCCACCTTCACTCATCTCACTTGAGCTCGCTGCCAATTCACATTCTTCCCTCTTCACTCATACTCAGTGCTGAAGCTTACATCTATCTACACACACTTCAGAGGCACACAGCAAGCTACCGACCACATCTTTAAAGAGATCAAGTCAAAACATCCGTCGCACTCAGTAAGTATACCAATTTTTCACCTGAGATTCCTCTCTGTTTCCAATCTTCGGAATAAGCCCAAAGAAAATTGTCGCCTACCGCAATTGCCTGCCCTCCTTCTCCTACCACTCCACCTTCCTTATTTCCCCTGAGCTCTTCCTCCTTTCCGTACTCACCCACCTCTGCGCTGCCTACCTTATTTTGACCCTCGACACACACCGGGCGGGCTTCCACCTTCTACACCACAACACGGCACTCCCAACATCAATCCAGCCCTAATCCCTCCACCGCAGGTCGCGCACGAACAGAAAACGCAATAGAAGCTCGCTGTGTCAGCAGGTACAGATACTCTTGATCGTCACAGATTACCTCTTCCCCTACGCTACATTTTCTTTTTCTATTTGCTCTCTGACCCTTCCGTGGACTCAATACTAATCCGTCAATTCTATAGATCACCAACCAAGATGGCTCCTGCAAACTTCAAGACCTACGAGTCTCAGGCTCGCCTGCTTCGTGCCATTGTGGCCGCCCACTCCGATGTCAAATGGAACTACAAGGGTAAGAACTACGCGTGTTTCCTCTCTTTTCGTCCAGCCCGATTCTCATTCTTCGTCACTCCCGATTTCCTTCTGTTATTCACCATGGTCGACGTCATTTCTGACGTACGACAGATATCCAGAAGTTCTACGGTTCGGATATGACCAAGGACGCTCTCATCCATCGGTTCAGAGCTCTGAAGAATCAGGGACATGTCCTTCGGCAGGTCGATGAACAGAACGTAGACTGCAAGGCTATTCCCGTGGATCTCCCCAAGGAGAAGAAGGGTAAGCGATGCTCCTTGCCGCCCTTGCTTCTACATTCGTTCTCTTGCTTTCATCCATTGCGCCGTCCTTGCCTTTTTCCTCTGTATATTTCCTCAAGTTCACTACGCTTTTACTGCAAATTGACTACGGAGTATACTGACTTGAGACAACAGAGATTGCCAAGTTCTTCGGCGAGTCCACCGCTGATGGCATCCAGTTCCAGTTCCGTGGCATCAAGAAGGACGCAGAGTCCCTCAAGCAGACTGCCAACAGCGGCGGTAACCCCGCCTCTGCCTTGACCCTCACCGGCGGCACAAACAGCAATGTTTCTACTCCCCGCAAGCCCCGTACCCCTTCCAGCAAGGTTCGCGCCTCGGGCGGTGGCCGTTCAACCACGGCCAAGAAGACCATGCCGATCAAGACTGATCCTGTGACCGACGATGATGATGAGGGTGATGATGCCGTCGACTATAACGCGCTCGAGGACACTCCCTCCAAGACTCGCGTCCACAACGTCATCGACGGCCGTGTGACGAAGAACAAAGCCGCTCCTCGCCGGAGTGCGACTCCCAGCCGCGCCGCTACTATCGCCGCGGCTGCAACCATTACACAATCTGCTGCCGTCGACCTCACCACCTCCGACAGTGAGGTAGACACCCCCAACAACATTTCGGGCTACGAGCTCCCTACCATCGTCGAGGCCAAGCCTGCTGCCGTCCAGCACCCGTCCTTCGAGGAGGCTGTTGCTCAGAATCAGACCATCATCCAGCCCGCTGCCATGGCTAGCTTCACCGGAAACGACAGCTTCTCGCAGTCGATGGATGCGGCTATCTTCAATCCCGTCAACAACATGAATGACGAGCTCAACTTCAGTTTCGCCGAGAGCATGGTGAACTCCAACGGCGGTTTCGACTCCTTCATGGGCGCCGAAGGAGAAATCTGAGCTGGCTTTTCATTGGCATGACGAAGAAAGACCTGGGAGTATCCCGAGGTCTGCCGCTGTTCTGAATCTTTCACGTTGTGGTATCGACAACTCCTCTTTACGGAATGGGAACTTGGCGTTGGGCTTGGACTACTCTCTTCATCCTAGGTGGATATGAGCCACGGATAGCATGTACAAAAGGAAACGAAGGATACCGAAGTGGGCTTTTCCCTATGCTTCTATAGATAGATGGATCTTTTCCCACCGAGCTCGCAGAGCTGTAGTGCGTGGAAGAGATCCCCAATGAGATACCAAGGCAATAGGCCGACTTGATTTGCACATCTCGGTATTTTGTTCCCTAAGTGACCATACACTGCGCGGCGTTTTTCGCATGTCCATGCGGCGTTAGGACCTAAGCACTCCAATTCAAAAGTCGACATTTACCTGGAGGCTTCTATCGTAATTATCCCCAGGTATTCAGCATGATATTCAAACGATCTCACAATGCATCAAAATGAGTTTTGAAGACAAGAATTGACGGGTATCTCCTCTTTCACTCATTGCTACTAGCTAGGGGTAATCGGGACTATATAGAACAACCAAGCCCCCTAGCACTTTACTTTTTTTCCTTTGCCTTTTTTTTTTTTCCTTCCGGTTTTTATCCTAAATACCGATCCCTCTTCAGGTCTCCTTCTCGCCGGACAACAACTTCCAAAGCGCATCCCTCTCGACGTAGTCGTGGTGTATAATGTTGACGAGCCAGTACTCGGAGCCTATCCGCTCCAGCAGCGCCTCGCTCTCGCTGCCCTTGCCGTAGACCTTGGCCCACTCGCCCCAGATTTTGAAGGCCTCCTCGGCCCAGGCGCGGAAGCTGACCTCCTCGATGATGGTCGGGGTGATGATCTCCTTGCCGGGGAAGACGCCCCACGTGACGGCGTTTGTGCTCGCCTCCGTGCCCTCGAGGACGAGGCCGCCGCTCGCGTCGGAGGAGACAAAGTCGCCGGCGCCGTTGGCGGCGTAGAAGCAGATTGTGTTGTCCGTCACCTCGTTGAGGCGGGCGACAAGGCCGGCCCAGTCCGAGGAGGGGATGAAGAGCTCGACAAAGGCCTTTTGGAAGACGAAGCCGTGCTGGGGACCCCAGCCGAAGGTCGGGTCGCGGGAGGGGATGCCGTTGACAGCGGGCTGGGAGGCGACGGTCCACCAGCCGCGGGTGTTGAGCTCGAGGAGCTCTTGCTGGATGATGTTGGACTCGGGGAGGAGCTCCTCCTCGGACCAGGGGATGGCGGCGAGCTGGCCCTTGATGTGGCGGATGAAGATGTTGTTGATGTCCTGGACCGTCTTAGGGGTGCCCCAGAGGCGCATGGCTTGCGTCACGGACATGTGCAGGCTGACGCCGTAGCCATCGATTTCACCGTAGGCGGGGGAGCGGGCGTCACCCCAGCGACCGTTGGGGAAGTCGTCCCAGGTGGCTTCGCGGCCTACTGCGCCGACGCCCTCGGAGATGGCGAGGGTGTTTGCGCGGGTGTTGAGGGGCTCTGAGACCATGAGGCCGGCGGTCGTCGTCTCATATGCGGGATTTGAGGCTGATCCGGAGACGATGATGCGGTTGTGCGGGTCTGAGCCCATTGAGGATGGCCGTCGTCCGTTGGAGAGGGTGCGGGTGGCCGGGTGGGGTACCGGTGACAGGCCGTTGAGCTGGACTGCAGGAACGGCGACGGGGACGGGGATGCCCGGGCCGTCGTCTATGATGGCTTCTTCGTCCTCGTCCTTGGGGTCGGGGATGAGGCCCGTCCGTTCGAGGATGAAGGACACGGCCTTTTCGAGGTTGAGGGTGTAGAAGTGGAAGCCTTTGGGACCGGGCGTCCTGCTCTTGACCTCCTTGACCTGCTCGACGAGCTCGCTGAGGATGTCGACACCGACTTGCTTGACCTTCTCGTCGTCACCCTTTGCCGCGTCCAGTCGAGCCATGAGGTTGTTGGGGATCTTGGCGTGGCTGAGCTTGGTAGTCCGCTTGATCATTTGGTAGCTCTGGATGGGCATCAGGCCGGGGAGGAGGATGATGTCCTTGAAAGCGCCGCTGGGGTGCTCCTTCAAGGTTTTTTCAAAGTTTTCGTAGGCCTTGATGTCGAAGAAGAGCTGGGTCATGATGAAGTCTGCGCCGGCCTGGACCTTGTCAACCAGGTACGGGAGGTCGTGCTCGAAGCTCTGTCCCTGGGGATGACTCTCATCTGCGTGTCCCTCTGGGTAGGCTGCGACTCCTATGCAGAAGTAGTCGCCGTATGTTTTGCGAATGTACTTGACCAGGTCGACGGCCCAGACGAAATCCTCGGCATCGTCAGTCTCAGAGTCCTCGGTGTCGCGGTACTCGTTCTTTCGAGGCGGGTCACCTCGCAGGGCGAGGATGTTCCGGATACCCAGGGCCTTTGCGTCCTCCAGGGCCTTGTCGATGAGCTTACGGCTCATGTTGGTGCATGTAAGATGGAGACAGGTGGTGAGGCCCAGCTCTCTCTGGCATATCTCGGCCAGTTCCAGAGATTTTGTCGAGGTAGATCCGCCGGCTCCCCAGGTGACGTTGACGAAGAGAGGCCGCAACGCCCTCTCCATTCTGTCCAGACGGTCGCGCAGGTTAGAAAGACCCATGGCCGTCTTGGGTGGGAAGAACTCCAAGGAGAAGTAGTTGGCGTCTGCCGGCAGAGCGGCGATCTTGTCCGTGATCTTCTCCATCGTGAGGGCGACGAGTTGTAGCTCGTGTACTTAGAAAATGATGCTTGAGATAAAGGTTGGAGTTTTAACGCGTTATCCTCCTTGATTGTGCGTTTAGTGAAAAGATTGCTCGGCGTTGAAGACCGTTTGAGATTCCTTTGTCGATATCAGACCGCCACGGACGGGCAGGGGCGGGGGACGAGTCTTGGAATTTGATGCCGCCTAGTAACGTGGGGAGCTTCGGGATAAGGAATGAGAAGATGGGCAAAGGGGGTTCACAGAAGACTCAGTAGAACAGAGTTCCTTGTCTCAGGGGATCGAATGTGACGTGATTGGCTTGCTTGCGCTGTCGTCATTCCCCTAGAACAAATTGGATGTGCACCCACGAAGATATTCAAAGGCAAAGACGCGGGACATTGAAAATGATTTTGGCGGGGCAATTTCTTTTTGGAGATAGCAGAACGCACTGTACCACCGACTTCGGATAAGGCGCCCAAGGTGCGGCTAAGCGCGGTACACACAGTGTCAGAAGCCGCTTGAACGGTTTTTAGTTATTCCGCCGCCCCCTTCTTTCAGCGCTCTCGTCCGTTGCCCTTGGAGAAAACTTATCTTTGTTTACAACCTCTATGCACCAGCTCAATGTTTCTGGAAAGGTGACCTCGACAAAATTTCCCAGTACTACCTTGCTCAAAGCAAGAATCGCCTTGCATTATAAAACCCGAATATTGAAACCCCAATCACGACAGAGCCCCGTGCCATGGTGTTGGTCCAGCACTGTCACACCTTCCTTCATAGATGATATGTCCCAGGGGTGTGCGGAACAAATGACGTTCCCCTGCAGGGCCACCTGCCAGTCTGCCACTAAAATTCCGCAGGGTAGGGGCGGAGATGCAGGGGTCCAGAGAGCTCTCCGTTTTTGATGGAGCTGCACGGCAGCTGCAAACGCGAACACCGCTTTCTTCGCTTCAACCCGCGATAGCGTGACGCCGTTGCATGACTCTAAATTTGCTGTCTTTTGCTTCCTCCACCAACGACCACTACCTACCTACCTTTCCCTGCCCAACGACTATGAAAACACCATACCAATGCAATTGATCCACGCGAAACATGTCGGCCGCCTCTGGTCCAGTCGGTCCATCGCGACCTTGGCGAAGAATGCACGACCAACCCCGGCTCTCGTAGCTTCTCGACAGGTTCCGTCTTTCGCAAGCCCGTACCTAGCTCAAGCGACGCAACGACGGAGCTATGCCGATATCAAACTTGATTTCACCGCTCTCGATAAGAAGTGGCGTCAGAAGTGGGATGCGTCGAAAGCTTCTACGGCAAACGATGATTCCAGCAAGCCGAACCAATATGTGCTTCCGATGTTCCCATACCCCTCTGGTACCTTGCATCTCGGCCACCTGCGCGTATACACAATTGCCGACGTTCTTGCTCGCTATCACACGATGAAGGGGTCCCGCGTGATGTTGCCGATGGGATGGGATGCATTCGGTCTTCCGGCTGAAAACGCTGCCATCGACCGTGGAATCGCACCTGCGACCTGGACCCAGACCAATATTGCCAAGATGAAGGAACAACTGGAGGTCATGAATGGCAGCTGGGACTGGGAGAGGGTTTGTTCCCTAGCTCGCCATCTCTACTCTAGCTGACACGATGTCTCTTAGGAACTGACTACCTGCGACCCCGAATTCTACAAACACACCCAAAAGATCTTCTTGATGATGCTCGAACGTGGCCTCGCTTACCAGACTGAAGCAGAGGTCAACTATGACCCGGTCGATATGACAGTACTTGCCAACGAGCAAGTTGACGCCAATGGATGTTCTTGGAGATCCGGTGCCAAGGTCGAGAAGCGCCAGCTGAAGCAGTGGTTCTTCCGCATCTCTGAGTTCAGAGACGCATTGCTGAAGGATTTGGATACACTTGCCCAGAACGACGCTTGGCCTGAGAGGGTCTTGGCCATGCAGAAAAACTGGCTCGGAAAATCTACTGGCGCCGTAATCAAGTTCCCAGTCATGGCCATGGGCCACGATGTCCACGCAGCTATCGAAGTCTTCACGACGCGGCCGGACACATTGTTTGGGGTCCAGTATCTCGCCCTTGCCTCAACCCACCCGATCGTGACTTCATTAGCGAAGGCCGACCCCGAGCTTCAAGCTTACTTAGATACTCTACCCGCATTGCCTAAAGACTCCAAGGTCGGTTATATGCTGCCGCACGTAAGGGCTGTCAACCCGCTGGCATACCACGAGCAGACTCCCGACGACACCAAGAAATCCATCCCGGTGTACGTTGCGCCCTATGTTCTTGGCGACTACGGCGAAGGCGCTGTGATGGGTGTTCCCGGTCACGATCTGCGGGATAACGCTTTCTGGAAGGAGCATCACTATGACGAGCCCGTGAGGTTTGTGTTGGCGGCTTCGGAAGACGAGTCAACTTCCGCAATTGCGAACGAACCTTTCGTCGAGCATGGGGTCATGGCAGCAAACAGCGGTCCTTTCAAGGGTAAATCCTCCACTGAGGCGGGCCGGATGCTCATTGGCATCCTTGAGGCGGCAGACTTGGCTAAGCCGGTTGAGAAATGGAGATTGAGAGACTGGTTGATTAGTCGTCAGCGATACTGGGGAACGCCTATTCCTGTAATTCACTGTGGCTCCTGTGGCCCAGTGCCTGTTCCGGATGATCAGCTGCCGGTCAGATTGCCCGACGTCAGCCATCACTGGACAGATGGGAAGGCTGGTAACCCATTGGAGAGAGCCGAAGACTGGGTGAATACTAGCTGCCCCAAGTGTGGCAGTCATGCAAAGCGTGACACCGACACCATGGACACCTTCGTCGACTCAAGTTGGTACTACGCGCGTTTCGCGGATCCTCACAACACATCACAGCCGCTCTCTGTTGAGGCGGCAAAATCACTGCCGGTGGACCTGTACATTGGTGGTATTGAGCATGCCATCTTGCATCTCCTCTATGCCCGGTTCATCTACAAGTTCCTGGCCACAACAGAACTGTTTCCTGCTTCAGGCGAAGCTGACTCGGTCCACGAGCCATTCAAGAGACTAATTACACAGGGTATGGTGCACGGCAAGACGTACACCGATCCCAAGTCAGGAAGGTTCCTGAAGCCAGACGAGGTTGACTTGGAGGACCCTGCAAACCCCAAAGTCGTGGCCACAGGGGCTACGGCAAATGTGTCATTTGAGAAAATGTCCAAGTCCAAGTACAACGGAGTGGACCCGACCGAGTTCATATCCAAATACGGCGCTGATGCAACCCGAGCTCACGTGCTCTTCCAAGCGCCTGTGGGCGACATCCTTAACTGGGACGAGGACAAGATCGCCGGAGTCACGCGTTGGCTGCATAGGCTTCATGACCATGCAGCCAAACTTCAGGAGTTGTCGGTCGAAGAAAAGCCCATCGTGGCTTACCTTGAGGAGCGCTCAAACAGCTTGTCTTCTCTGGGCGACAAGGAGCTCGCTGTCTGGGACGCTGACGCCGCCATTTGGAGAGCCGTTCAAGTAACAATTGGTTCCATTACCCAGTCCTACGAGACTGTCTATCCGATGAACACCATCGTTTCAGACCTTATGAGTCTGACTAATACCCTCCAGGAGAACACTGGAGCGAGCCCTCTTGTTCAGAGGGAAGCCATGTCTGTTCTCCTTCGGATGATGGCCCCAATTGCACCAGCCTTCTCTGAAGAGTGTTGGAGCCTCCTGCATCCCAAATCAGGTTCCATCTTCGAAGAACCCACTTTCCCTGCGCAGGACAACACGCTGTCCCTGTTGAAGCCGCGTAAGCAGTCTGTGGCTATTCAGATCAACGGAAAGCTGCGCGGTGTTGTAGAAGTGCCCAACCCCCCTTCTGGTCTGGAGGGAGAGGCATTGCGCGACTGGATGGTCGCTGAGGTTCTCAAGTCTGATGAGGGCAAGGCCAAGTTTACTGGAGGTCAATTCGACGTCACATCCCCGAGGAGAGTCATCTTAGCTCGTGGCGGCAAGACGATTAACTTTGTAGTCTAGAGGTGTAAAAGTATATGAGATACCCGGTGGTTTGTACAACATGGAAGCCGAAACAAAGAAGAAACAAACATCACTCATATTAACTCTGCCAGCCGTGTCTACAGTTTTTGAGTTTAGGACCATCTTAAGTACATCCGCGTTCGCCTTGAAGCTTCCGCACCGATATTGAAGGGACGGCACTGCAATTCAGAGTCCTACTCAAACAAGACTAGGAGCTTTTCTAATACTTTGAAGTGTGGTAATTTCTGTAATTTTGTGCTCTCAACTAACTTCTGCTCTCTTCGCGTTGCTATGCCTCAAAGTCTACGGCATACCCTTGAAGCTCCCTGTATGCGCCTTTTTTGTCGTGTAAGTCTACATCATCTTCTCGTCTATTCATTTCTTTTCATGCGATTTTTGTAACAATCAACTCGCCTTCGCCGCCCTCAACTTCCAGGAACGATCCAGTCTCGAGCTTCTTTTTCCACTTGCCACTCTCATAACGTCCCAGAATCATAGTCATACGCAGCAAAGCTCCCTCACTGGAAGCGTGCTCGGCCCCACCCTCTGCGATTGGCGTAAACGTCCACCGACCAAAGGCCCAGTTGAGAATGTAGCGAGATTTAGGATGCGGCGGTGTGGGGATCTGAGAATCCTCGTCAGAGTCTCTCACCGTCGACGACGCGGTCAAGACGGCTTTTATGCGGTATACTTCGTCTTTCGGCGCGGCGCGCAACAGCTTCTGCAAGCTGTCTGCGTTGACAGCCGCGTCCTTGGGACCCTTGAGTTCGATCGAGAGAACCTCGACCTCTGTCTGGTGGTCGTGCGAGTGGTCCTCGCCCTTGTTGTCGTTATCATGTGTGTGCTCTTCCGTAAGGCCCTGCGCGAGACCACCGTCCACGCCAAAGACCAGCTCAGCGCCAACCCAGCCCTTTTTGCTCTTGACCCAGGGAATATCGACCTCGAGGTCGCCCACTCTGTCGAGAACCTCATCGAAGCGGTCCTCGGAGCACAGCTCCCACTTGTTGAACACAATCAAGTCCGTGTATTTTGCCTGAATGCGCGCCGTGTAGCTCGTATCCTCGTACCCCTTCCAATTCTCCGTGTCAATGACGCTGATGACGCCGTCGAGGGTATAGTTGCCCGTCTCGCGCGCGAGGCGGTTGACCTCGAGGGCCAGCGTCGCGGGGAAGGCAGAGCCGCTCGTCTCGATGACGATGCGGTCCGGGCGGACGGTGGCGTGCAGCTCGGCGAGGGCGACGCTGAGCTGGCCGACGAGGTTGCAGCAGATGCAGCCGTTGAGGAGCTCCTGCACGCCCGAGATTGCGTTGGAGGAGGCCAGCTGGGAGTCGACGGCCAGGTCGCCGAATTCGTTCTTGAGCAGTGCGAGCTTGTAGGACGAGTTCGCGGCCTTGAGCTGGGGGAGGAGGTTGAGGATCAGCGTCGTCTTGCCGGAGCCGAGGAAACCGGTGATGATTGTGATGGGGATGGGCGCCATGATTGGCAAAAAGTCGCAAAGTGCGCGCACGTGTGTCGGGGAAACTCTATAAAGTTGAAGACCGTGAACGACCGGCTGGGTAAATCACAGCTGTTAAGCTTTGATGTAGGTATGGTGTCTGGATTACATCAGATCACCCTCCAATTTTTTTGTGTTGAGGAAAATGGCGCCGCCGCTCGGAAGCGGGTTGTCGCGTGGTGGTGGGATGGAGGGGTCGCAGAGCGCCGGTGCAGTCCGATAAGGCATCCGATAAGAGCCGATAAGACGTCCCCTTTCGCTGGGGATTTTAAGGTTATCTTAGCGGACAGCCAAGGGGACTGCAGTGCCGAGCTAGGCGGTTTGACGTCATTGGCCCCAGTTTGCGGGTGGCTCACACCATCTTTCCTGCATCACATCGACAGCAACCAAGCAAACCAGGCAAGCACGGCAGGCACCAGATCAGCCCGTCCTCCCCGAATCGAATTGAATCGCACACATCCACCTCAGCTACGGGTTGGTCTTCATCCAAGCCTGGAGGAAAAGGTCCAGTCCAGTCTCCCCCCCCCCCACCCACCCCCCCCCCCCCCGCCCAGACCTATGCGATCATAGCCTGGAGCTGGGACGCGCGGTCACCGTCTACCCGCCTCTGCCCAGTCCCCGACTCCTGCTTTCCATTACTGCATTCAGGTCCAGCCCAGCTCCATCCATCCCAGCGGCCCCATTTCCATGAACCCGCGCAGAACCGCTTGCCACGTTTGGATTCTGACCTACCTTACCGTATTGCTTGAAGTAACCCCCTTCCCCAGCTCCCCCAGCCCTGTCGGGCTATTTCCTCCTTCCATCTTACCTTCTAGTCTATCAATGCCTGCTGCTCCGCCACACTCGAGAAACTCAATTTTACTTCACAAGAAACTCAGTACCTATCCATCATCGCCCTACCTACCTACTGTCACTATCGTCTTTCGTCGCCCATCTCATATCACATCGACCCACCGTCTCAGCCCTACGACCTTGACGACACGCCATCATCGCATCCGAACACCCTCCCTTACCACCCGACACCAATTATCTCAGCCGCACCAGCCACCCATCATGTCTGCGGAACCCAACAGCAAGTTTGCGCCTGAGCCTCAGATCACGCATAAAGGCCGCGAGTTGAGCTTCAAGCAGAAGCTGGACCAGGCAGCCCACGACGCCCGTAAATCCGAAGAAGAGCCTAAGCAGAACCCTATTGTCGAGAAAGGTTGGTAAAAGCATCACACCCATCCCGCCTTGCCATCATGTCAACACATCATAACTATACCGTCTCTTCAGTTTCATGAACCTTCGCATTTGCACTACACAACAACCCAGATGATCCCGTCTTGTCCTGCCCTGCACTGCTCTGCCCTACCGATTCAAGTCTCCCCCTGGCCTTTCCCTCAAACTTGTCTAGATACGTGTAGCTCATCAAGGACATTCCACAAAAAAAAGTGACACAGTACATTCCAGCCGCCGCCAAGATCCTCGGAAACCCGCAGGAAGAAAAGGAGGAAAAGATTTCGCGCCCTGGAATTCCAGGACCGCCCGAACGGCCGTACGACGACGTCCAGGTGGAGGAGTTTATCCGCCAGCAGCACCGTAGCAAGGGAGAAGACGGCATTCTCCAATGAAGTTTTGGCGAAACAGGAGCGCGACCAAGGAAAGAAGAACAACGCCATTCATTCCTAAACCCCCTATACTGCATCTCCTAGCAGACCAAAGGAAAACAAGCACCAGAGAGGCCTGGATAACAAGTTTTTTTTTATTGAATTGGCGGCGTTTTTGCTTTGGTTATTCTAACCATCATCGATTTTATGAGCCTTCACGACGAAATGAAGCTGGCTTAAGTTTGCACTCACCTGCTTTTTTTCTCCCCTCCCACACCTACCCCTCGCAACGTCATCCCATAGCGCGATTCTGTCAACGGGCTTGGCGCTGATCAAAACGCGGGGAAACCAACTAGCATCCAACCTCACATCATGAGCAACGACTCCAACACCCTCATCATCCTCTCAAAACACGCATTCGCCAAAAGGGAAAGGAAGCAGGGTGCGCGTATGAGAGAGGGGGGGGGGGGGGCATAGCAAAGACACCCTCAAGGAAAACCTGTATTCGTACTTCAATCTAAAAAAACAACAACGTTATTGATTCAAAATAATATCGAAACACCTTTGGGCCCTTTGTCCACCTATGTCAACTCCGCTGTGGGCAGCAGTAGCCCACAAATGCCGCCAATTAGTAAACAAAAATGACATCTTTCTTTCATGTTTGAAAAAGTTCGAAACTCCCGGGAATTATAGCCAAAGATTAATACAGAACAAGGATCCAAAAAACCGTATTTTTCCAATGAACCTTTCTCCCGTCAACCTTTTTCTTTTCCCCTTTTTTGATATTTGGGCGCGAGCACACGGCGTTATGGAGATGCATGATGGGAATGGAAAAAATTAGAGAGTCGATTTAAGCAAAGATGGTAAGGCCGGCAGCCATTGCGATACCGCAAAGGAGACCGAGGCTCTTCTTGAGAGACGGCGCGGAGGCGACCTGGACTGTGGACGGCGTGGAGCCGGAAGCACCACCGGTGGCGGTCGAGCCAGAGGCACCGCCGCCGGAGCCGGGAGCGCCAGACTGGCCGGGGGCACCGCCAGCGCCTCCAGCACCACCGGAAGAGCCTCCAGTACCGGGAGCACCGGATGCGCCAGGGGCTCCAGGAGCGCCAGACTGAGCGGGGGTTCCACCGGGGGCACCACCGGCACCGGGAGCGCCAGACGCGCCGGGAGCACCGCCAGCACCGGGAACTCCAGACGCGCCGGGAGCACCGCCAGCACCGGGAACTCCAGACGCGCCGGGAGCACCGCCAGCACCGGGAACTCCAGAAGCGCCGGGAGCACCGCCAGCGCCGGGAGCGCCGCCAGCACCAGGGGCACCGGACTGGCCAGGTTGAGCAGGGGAGCCACCGCCGGGTGCAGCGTTGTTGTAAGAGCCGTAGCTGCCGTAGACGCCGTAGCTTCCAGCGCCCTGGCTGCCAGAGGGAGCAGCGCCGTTGGAGCCGCCACCGTTTCCTCCAGCACCGCCGCCGGGGGAAGAGCCGCCGTTGTTGTTGTTGTTGTTGTTGTTGTTGTTGTTGTTGTTGTTGTTGGCGCCGCCTCCGTTGCCGGTGCCCTGGCCGTTACCGTTGCTGTAGGAGCCGTAGGATCCGTAGACGCCGTAGGGGGCGGCGGTGATGACGGGGTTGGAGTTGGCGGTGACACCGTTGCCGTTGATGACGACGTCGGCGGTCGGGGTCGGGATGGGGCAGATGATGGGGATGGTCTTTTGGGCGCAGGGCTCGCAGAAGACGGTGGTGGGGGCGAAGCAAGGGGGGATCTCCTTGGTCACGTACTCCCAGGGCTGGCCGGTGCAGACCTCGGTGACGGTGTAAGTGGCCATCCACGAGGTGGAGGGGTTGGCGGCGAGGGCCGTTGTCGTGTACACGGTGGTGTAGACATTGGTGGTCGCGGTGGCGGTGACCGTGGCCGCCGGGTCGCAGGTGAAGAAGGCCGAGGTGGTAAGGGCTCCGGAACTGGGGTGTATGTCAGCGAGTCTGTGTAACACGAGAGGTGATGGTGATATATCAAAAAAGGGGATGGTGTTCTCACCTCATCTTGACTGTTGTTTAGTACTAGCTTGGGGGAGAGTTGATTAGGCGTATATGGATTTGAGGGTTTGGAATTAGTTGTACGGGGCGAGCGAAGGGATTAGATTGAGCTGTACGGAACGAGCGACAGACAGGTTATCCTGGAATTACGGAACGAATGTGAGGGGACAGAGTCCAACGAACGACTGGGTGAGCGAGACTTCGTCTAGGGGCGGAAGACCGGGGGAACGGGGGGGAGGAGAGAGAGAACTGGGGAACGAAAGGGCTAATCCAAGAGTTTCCTTCATCACGGCCGGCCTCTTCGTCTTATAGGGAGAGACCAGCAACAGTCAGGAGCACGGCAAAAGGCGAGCCAAGAACCAAGAAGGGGGTTAGCTGGAACACATACGCACACACACAAGCCCGGTCCCTGGGTACGTTGTTCCCCCCCGACTGGCTGTATGAAAGCAAGCATCTGGTGGGAATGATGGGACATTGCGGTACATTCCTCAGAGCCCGGGTCCGGACGACGATGGTCCCCTTGGGAGGAGCCGTTGACATCAGACATGTCCTCTCCATCCCGTGTGAGTAGGGAAAGCATGCGGTAATGTCCACCTTGGAGGGCCGGAGTGGATGCTAGAGGTGGTGCGGCTGATCCGAGAAGTCGGATTGAGGAGAACCATCTTCCAATCCTTCGTGTAGCTTGATTGCTAGAGGTGGGGATACTATCACCAGCTTGGCAACGACGACGGACGAAAAGAGGCAAGGGCACATATCCTGTATGCCGGGATCAGAGACTCAGACGGGTGCCGGGGCGTTGACGCGCAGCAGCATTGCTCGGGGGCATGGTCAAGAATGCAGCCAGGGGCCAAGACATGTGGCATGGTTACACCTCAACGGAGGGAAAAGAGTGAATGAGGAGAAGAGAGAAAGAGGGCCTATGGAAACGCTTTCAACCGTCTTGTCGTCTGTCAGGACTCCAGGAGGTTCAAAACCAAGACACGTGCAAATTCGGGACTAACAGTCTAGAACCTAAACCGCTTTTTTTCGTGCCTGGATCTTTCCCCCCTTGTACCTGAGGCTGTCACGCCCGTGTCTCGTCCTCCTGGGATTTTGATCGACCCTCACGGCAACGCTGAGGCGGCGGCATTGGGAATGGAAGGAACCAGGAGGGACGGATACTCCCTTACGGAAGGAACTCTTGCACCAGAGGACCACCTTTTCTTCGCTTTGTGGTTCGTTGAAGAGTGAAGACGGTGTTGACAGTTGCCAGACACACTTCACTGCACCCTTCTCTTGCCTTAATCCTCTTCAGCCCCAAAATGACGAGAGATGCCGTTGGCATGCTCTATGCCTTCCACCACTTGCACAGAGTCTGAATTCAGCTCCGGCACGTAGGGAATGGCAATTATGGCACTGAACCAGTCCAGCCAACCGGCATGGCGTCAACTTGAACAGGTTATGAGGCTCGGGACATTCTCCCATCACTTGCCGGGGCCGTTCCTGGACCCAAGGTTCCTTGGGAGCGAAAGTTAGAGTCGGTACTTCAGTTGCAGGAAAGTACCTCCTCAAAAACCTCAAATTTCTTTGCAAACGGCATCCAGTTGACGACCAGCAGAATGAGCGCTATCCGGGTTACTGGCACCGCAGGTCTCACTATTTCAATGGTAGTGCACTCCATCGCCTCGACGAGCGGGCGACAAGGCGAAAAAACGTAAATACGACTCATGCCTGATTCGAGAATTTGGCATGTCCCCCATCAACAGCATCCCTCACCCACCGCCCGTGAAATGGGCCTGGGGAGAGACTTCCTATAATCCAGGGAATTTTAATCTGCAGAGCGATCCAACTCCGAAGAGAGGAAAAGGCAACGCTACACCGTGAGAAAAGACTGGGTGTAGGTCGTGGCAGCTCTGGGTTACTTTTTGATCTAAGGAAAAAAAAGAAGAAGAAAGAGAAAAATATTTTTGGCAGCGAGCCGCCCTTTTGAAGCTGCTGGAATTTGGCGCTAGGCCGTCTTGGGTCCGACCCATCACTCCTACCGTGCAAGGCGTTTGTTGAACCACTGTCCATTGGCACTGTGCGATACTGCAGAGATTTCTGCATAATCCACAGTGCCCACTTCGATATGTGGGGCCGCGCTCTTCAAGCTTCACCGTTCCAGTGTTACCATCACCACGTTGGTCATGCATGCTCAGGAATAAGATTATCATTCAGCCCCGTCTAGTCTAACCAGTCGAGGAATTCCATCATACCAGAGATTTCAAAGAGCTCCATTGCCACGCGGAACGACACCGAAAACACCAAAAGCCAAGACTGTTGGACTCCACGGGCTCGATTCGCTGAAGCAGCCTGCCAGCCCTACATTACGAAGGGCTTCCCCCCCTTCCCCTTATCCCAAGCGCCTGAACACCCAATTATGCATCTACCATTAGCCGGTTCTCTTTATCTCTTTATCTCTTTATCTCTTTATCTCTTTATCTCTTTATCTCTTTCTCTCTTTTTCTACCAGTTCTTGGCGACCGTCATGGTTCTTGAACCCGCAGCGAAATCCTTAGCGTAGTCGGTGCCGATATACCGGCCCTTGAACATCCAGATAATGATACTGGGCAACCTCCACGTTCCCATCTGGCCAGTCGCCCTGCTCCGTCCAATCGTGATGCCGGCCACTACCTTTGGGTCGACAACGTACGGCGCCGGCCTCGGCGCGCCCGTGAAGTGAGCCTGGATGCTCTTCACCACGTGCTGCACCTGCAAGTCTGCCAGCCGCCCGTACCCGCCCTCGAGGTTACCAACGTCGCCCACCACAAAGATGTTGTCGTGGCCGGTCGCGCGCAGGCTGTTGTCCTGCTTGACGTATCCGGGCGGGTCGAGCATGTTGGACGGCAGGAACGAGGTGTTGGGGATGTCGCCGACGGTCGGCAGGTATGCGTCCGTCTGCAGCGTCGTCTTCTTGCCGCTCTTGTCCGTCAGCTCGAGCGTCTTTTGGCCGTTGGCATCGGTCTTTACGCTCGTGACCTTTGTGTTGTGGATCGTCTTGACGTTGAGCTTCTGCAGCTCGTTGAGCGCCGCCTTGCGTACGCTGTCGGTGAAGGGGGGGCCGAGGGGCAACTCGTCGTTGTAGATAAAGTAGACGTCCTTGTTGCACTTCTGCGAGTACTCGAAGCCGATCTCGCCCACCGTCTCGGTGCCCGTGATGCCGCCGCCGGCGACCACGATGCTCTTGGCGTCGGAAAGCTGTCGGCGAATGTCGCCGAGTGCCTTCTTGGTCTCCTCCGTCGTGCCGACCTCCTTCCACGGCATGCTCTCCTTGGCGCGGGTGCCGGTCGCGATGACGACGGCATCGTAGGCGATTGACCTGCGGCTGCCGTCGTTGACCACCACGTCGACGGTATTCTTGTCGTCGTTGAGCTGCTCGGCCTTGCCGATGATGACCTCGTAGCTTTCCTTGGGGTACTTTGCGAATGACGGCTCAATGGGGTGGAAGAGCACGTCGTCGCCAAACTGGCCCGGCACGACGCCGCGAACGGAGGCGAGGTTCCAGTAGCTATGAAGCTTGGGTGTAAGTGGATGACGTCTTGCATAGTGTGTGTGTGTGTGTGTGTGTGTGTGTGTGTGTGCTACGCCACCAAAGAGGGAAACTTACTGCTCGGAATTGGGCGTCACCAAGACGACCTTCAGGTCCTTTACCAACGGCACCGTATGCTTCAAAGCATGGTGTGCAATGGGCAGGCCAGCCAGGCCGGCACCCAGAACGACGAGGGTAGGCATTATCGCTTTGTTCAGAGATTTGGTGTGTTCGTGTGCAAGCTTAGGTAGGAGAAGTTGCGTAAAGAAGCTTCTATAGCTCGAGGAAGCTTGGTAGCTCGAAGACAGCGATAGGTCGTATCAAGGGTTTTTGGCACCCCTTGCAGTTATGCTAGGATGTAGCTCTTCCGAGTTTCTGATTCGTTTCGGAACGTTCGGAAGATGTGTGAGTTGATTGTGGATGAGCAAGCCAGGTCTCTACTATCAGTGAAGAGAGCGAGGGCGACAGAATCGCTTTATACAAAATTGGAACGGACTTCAGATGCGTCAACTCAGGAATTAAAGTTGTGTACGATAGGAGAATCGGCCTTCAAATTACGCCTAGGTTTTTTTTGCGTGCAATGGGGCGCCAAGGTGTAGTACGCGGTGTAACTCGGAGACATTTCTGCGTAGAGCACCCGACTCATCGACAGGGCCCTCCCGGAAAGTCCCAAGTTCTCAACCCCGGACGGACACCCAAGACGGGAAGGAACCACCACCTCAGATAGAGATCTAGAACAGTTACACTAGATTGATCATTGTGGATTTGTGACAAAGCGCATCTTTACGGATTAGCCGCTCGGGGCGGATACAGTTATTAGTCAGGTAAGAGGACTACAATCTATTTTACCTGTAAACTAGGCGCGAGGGGAACAAGGTGCAAGTGACTCATGCAATTCGCTTTGAAAGAGGGAGGGAGAAATATCCGCTTGCGCTATTTACAAGGGAGCATACAGCAAGAAATGGGCTTAGACAAAGACATTTGATGATTGAGCAGCACACTTGCAAGGGAAAGCTATGTTTGAGAGTGCGAGCATGCGAGCGAGCACGCACGCGCGCGGTGCGGAGCGGAGCGGACTTTTTTGCAGTCACACAAAGGTACAACCAACCGCGCAAGATTGAAAAGCAGGCGCCGTCATGACAAAGAATCCTCACGAGGGCAAGTCGTGACGACTCTCTCAGGAAGGAAGGGCGTGGCGAGGTCACATGATTGAGCGTGTGACGCGGAGCTCGTCAACAACCCGGGCCCGTGCGGAGGAAAGCTCCCCCTAGTCAGAGTCTCGGGGGACTGAACCCAAATCCCTCCGGACCGGCCAAGTTCCTATCCCGACCTGGTTGTGTTCTTATCCCGACCCGGCCACGTTGACCCTCCGGCCTCGTCCTGTACTGCCCCGCGTCCCGAGCCTTGGCATCACCTTGTCCTTTCTCAATGTTTTTGTCGGCTCAGTTGATCCGTCATCCGCGCTGTCGTGATGGTTAATCGGTGGGAGATCCAAGTTTGCGCCGGACGACCGGGATTGTTACGGCATCAAGATCCACAAGTAGGGATAGGCGGCTGGTGGATGAACCACTACCGGGATGTCGGTGCTGGGATCCTCAACATCACGTGGATGAGTTAATCGCAACTACGAGGCAGACGGAACACGATGTGCCGCATCTCAACTGTTGTATTGGCATGCTGCTCTACACTATATACGACTGGCATCCCTCCACATCCAGCTTACAGCGGCAGCCAGGAAAAGAAAAGAAAACATCTTCTGGCCTCTTCAGCAGGTTACCCAAAACTCCCCATCCCGTGCCCGTAACGGCCTGTAAAGGTCTACATGAAGATGAACAGGGAACCGATGAGGCAGAGACCCATGGTCATGATACCGAGACCGGGAGCGAGACTGAGACCACTGGCGCGGGCGGGGTTTGACGGCTGAGCACCACCAACAGGGGGCGCGCTGGCACCGGGCATACCGGGCATCGGCGTCGTCATACCGGGGGCCATGCTCATGCCGGGCATGTTGGGCATACCAGGCATACCACCGCCTCCGGGCGTAGTCGGGGTTCCAGCGGGGGGCGCAGGGGCGGGCATCGGCATCGGCATCGGCATCGGCTTGGGCTGCATGGGCATGCCACCTCCTCCACCAGTGCTGTTACCGCGGCCGCCTCCTTCTCCAGTTCCTTGGCCAGCGCCAACGGGTCCGGCGTTCGTGACGCGGAAGAAGTTACCGGCGACAACCTTGTCTGATAGACCGGCCGCCATGAGACCGTTCATGACGTTGAAGTCACGACGGCTTTGAGCCGCGCCGGAGAGGGCCATAAGGCCTTGCTGCGTGATCATCGTATGGTCGACCGCGACAAAGGTGTATCGATGGCTGAGAGGCTCTCTCGCGGGCGGGTTGGGGCCAATGTAAGGCGCCAGAGCGGCCGCGTTCATCTTGTTCTGCATGAGGAACACCTTCTTGGGCCCGGCGGTCGTGTTGAGCGTCATCGGGGTGTCGGCAGACATGAGGCCGGTCTGCATCCAGTGGAGAAGAGTTCCGGTCTTGGGGGGCTGGTTGGTCGGGACGTCGATGTCAACCATTATCACCGCATACTGGCCCTTAAGCTGCTGCTCGGTCGCGATTGTGGGTTGCGTCTGACTAGCTGTTGGGTGATTGTTAGGTTGACCTCACTCTTTGGTCTCGACCGTGTGAAAACTTACAATCCCTAGGCAAGTTCACGCCATCCAGTGCCGAGATGCCTCCGTAAGAAACAATTAGGGGAGTGTTTGATTGGGGCATAAAGCCCATGGGCGTAGCGGCCGACGTCAACGTCGCCGCCGCCAGGACGGCAATAGCCTTAGACAACATTATTAAGAAATATCTCGAAGGAGCGTGTAGTAAGTCGCTACTTTGTTTAGAATCGAAAGAAAAGAAGGAATGAATATGAACAACACAGCCAAACGGAAATACCTGGCTCAACCACAACGTCGTTTAACAGGAAAGAAAAAGAGTTTCGGCCATGCTTATCCTACCTTTGGGCGACCTGCCCAGACATTATCTAGGGCGCCTACTCTTTTCGCCCCATGTAAACCTTGGGGGTCATCCGTGGGTGCGGAAACATTGTCGATCCAGGATGAAACGCAGTCTTAGCACTGTTGTTACAAGACGCAACTGTCTGCTGCATGAAGCATTGGCCCGCGGCCACACTCTCTGGGGCTCGGGAGATGCGCGTCGATGGACGGGGAAAGCCTGTACCTGGATTATGCAGGGTTGTCCTTATTTGAAGTTTGAACAGAACAGGAACAAGCTGCGACTACAAGTTGCGACATTGCGCCCCGCCGGGAGATCAAATGTTCTCTACCCTTTTTGCGCCTTGGGTGTTGGCTGGAAATGGCGATATCCCAAGTAAAGATCTCTAGCATTATCCCGCTTCTTCCTGCTGTGCCGGTGTATCCTATCAAGCGACCCCGGAAAAGACCCTTTAAACATGTCCATGATTGCCTTGGCAGAGTCTGTGAAAATGAAGGTTGGCGATCATTTTGGCTGGCTAGGAGTAGTCAGCCAAGAGATGGGATGTTTGTGCGACGTCGGCATAGTTTCTGGACTCAACCCGGGGTCTGTGTGTTGGAGATGCGCCCTTACTGTCTTCTCCTAACAACTGGACATTGCGGTGAAAGCCAATCACGTTGTGCTGAGTTGCGCTCCGGCTCTCTTCCGTACTGGTAGTTGAGTAGAAGCCAATGACAGAAATTCCCGTGACTTGCGAAACTAAGAACCAAGAAAGAACGATCTGTTCTGCCACGGCGCTTCCAAGAAATGGGGAAACGGATGCAGCCGGCCTTACTTCTGGGAATCCATGCTGACTTTGTGGCTGGCACAACCCCGCCACTTATAGTATTGAATTGTAGGAGACCATGAAACATCGGCCTTTTGTTTCCGATACTCGGCATCCGGAGTCTACCAGCGTCTTCGCCAATGGTCGTCCGGGACGTATAAAACCCAAAAAGGACGCCATCCGAACTTCACCACAAGGCTACAGACTGCAGAGAACAGGTTGACGGTGAATATGTGCGCAAAGCTCAAATCACTGTTCGTCGGTCGTCCGGCTCGTTGCGCAACAGACTTGGTTCGACGAGGGAACTAAGTTGTGAAAGTGGATACCAAATGGCTGGGAATGACCCGAATCCGGATGGGATTGAAGCTCAAGCCTGTGTCTTCCACCAATGACTTTTTCAGCAGCAAATCCCGCGTAAATGAGTCGCCAAGGCAAGGTTTGCTCGCCCAATGCGCCTCAGAGCCAAAATCATCATGCATTCATATGACCAGCACTAAAGTGCCATATGAACGCCAAACTTTCGTGTGGGATGCCGACATCGTCAACTTGCTTATGTTGGTGATAGGAATGGTGTTTAGCCTTGGCGTATTGAAGGTTATCGACTGTGCGATACCAACCATGGGAGTTTGCAGGAATGATCATCCACCGTCGTCAGGTCGTGAACACCCTTCTGCCACCTGGGATGAGCGCAATGTCATTTGTCGCCGCGAAAGTGTTTGTCTGCTCCAAATGATCGACAGCATACACAGCTAGATGGGGTTTCCCGGCCTGAACACTAATGCATCCGTACACTTTGGCTTTTTGCGGGCGAACAAGCCCTCCAGCCGGTTGGAGGACATGATAGCCATGGCTGAACCACGATAACCCTCCGATTTCCCTCAATGGGTAGCAGGGTCTGGGATGATTGATACCCAGAACAAGACCTAGGCCTATTTGATGGTTTGCGGAGCCAAAGAGTCTCTCGTGTGTATGGATGCCCGACTCAGAACACTCCGGCAGCGGGGTTGACGGAGGATCGGCAAAAGATCGACTGGGTTGTCGAATGTTGTAAGGCGAGGCAAGGGTTCCGTCCACAAGATCAGACGAGAGTTATCGTGGCACGCGCGTGTGGATTCAACGGTCGTCATCTTCCTTCCCGTCTGCGTATTTGTTGGACAGAAGCTATGTTGCAATCCTTCGCGGATGTGCAGGTCTTTGCCCAGGAACGCAAGCGTCTGAACAATACTTCTCGGGCGGTCGATGCCGTGCCTGGTCCCTCGGAAGTCCAGTTAGCATCTCAAGATCGCAATCTCATGTAGACAGAGTTCTCAAATACCGTGTCAGATCCGATGGTGGTGGTTTCATCTGAATCATGTGCCCATCGTGGTTGTACGAGAGAAGGGGAAAGTCAACCGCGTGTCACTCGGAGGGGTAGATGTGAGCACGGCAAAAATGGCATACATACCTACCTCGCTTTCGGGGATGAAATTGAGTGAGGAAGACTGCACGCTACAGGAAGTAGTTGGCGAGTCTGAAGGGAAGGATGCGCCTTTGCGATAAGGTAAGTAATTGGCATTTACATCTGGTAGGTGCCATTCGGTGACCCAATCACCTTGCGCTCGAGGTTGCGGCAGGAAAGAATGCCCGCGTGTCCTCTCAACCGACACGAGGAGATTACTCTGTAATGGCAGTTTTGGTCATCCACGTCACTTTGGACACTGCAAAGTTTATTGAGTTAATTGAGTTAGATAATGGCATCAGGATGGAAGAAAGTTACTAAGCATGACAACATCCCACCAGAAAGAGTTGTTATTGTACTTCTGGGCGGTGGCTATTTCGAAATAGGATGATGACATACTGCCTGAGCTGAGTATTGTGATTGATTCACGTGAGGTGGCCAGTAGTTATCCCGCTTCGCCGAAGAGTTGTGATAACGACGTGCTGAGCCTTTCGGGAATGAGAAGACTCGTAGATATGTCTGATCTTTTACCGCCTGGTGGTAATTACTTGATATCTCCTCTAGTAAAGGAGGGAGAAGGCCTGGTATTCCTCAAGAACAACTTCACCAGAAACTTCTCAATGGCCCATGTCTGCCTGGTCCCTGACCGACAAAGAGAACCGACGGGTTGATTATTGGTGGTGGATGTTTTCATGTCAGAGTAAGCATTCCGTGCTATTTCAACCCAGAACCTTGTCCACTTCTCAGATAGTAGTTTGATATTCATGGTCTCGGCCACGCTCAAGCTTTACGTGTACTTACCAACGCCATATGTTCAATTTTCCCCCTGACTGATTCTGTGATAGGTAGTGAAATTATATCAAGGCTGTATTAGGAGTTTGGGCTAGGAAAGCACGAATTCAACATACAACTAGGACAAGTCAGCTTCGCAATCACGCAATGTACTTATCCGCTTGCTCAAGAAGTTGTGAAAAGACCCTTTTCGGAAAGGATACAACCGACGGGGAATGATGGTGATAGTGGCGATTCGACGAAGACGATCTTCCAGATTCCCCGCCACGCTCGCATGCTGTTTTGATGAAGGACGAGCAACCATACCACATTGCCCCCATTGAGATGGGGGTTTGCCAATCTTCTGTGAGTCGAAATCCAGGGACAAGAAGCCTGGACTGCTCTTTTCAGAAAGGATTCTTCTCTCGAGGGCTCAAGAGACTGCTTCGTCAAAGCCTGGGTTAAACTCGTGAGGGTAAGCTCATAACGAGAATCACCCGTTACCGTCATCGCTCCCGCACCGCGCGACACCCACTGCCACGACAAAATATAACTGGAGACGGTGGCCAGAATGACGGCATAGGCGTCCTTGTATGAGGTCCTCTAGGTTACACTTACACCAGCGCTGATTCACCGACCGGTCGGGCGTTACACGCACATCTCGAGGAATTCTAGGGGACTTGGGCAGCGAATATGGAGCAACTCGTCCACCACTAACTTCTCTTCCCAGACACCTAGACTGGATAACCCTATATGTGATCTGAAGGGGCGTGACGGCGACGTACTGTAGCACTGTAGTAAGGGGTAAGAGTGAAGGCTATGGCCAACCGATGGTGACCTGGTACCGTAAAAAGACGGGCAACCGCCACCGAGGATGTTTACTGCGAAATACGCATAGCGACAGAACTGTGGACTGTTGAACGTAGACCATAGCTGGATCTCGATGTTCAACACTGGGGATGTGAAAGATGTTTGATAGCTGCTCCAGCCTTACCCGAGTCCGTTAGTTGACGAGCAAGCTTCAATATCTCAGAGAAGATCGCGCTCGAGAAGTCGGAACGGCCGTCAGGATGACGGAGGGGATCGCCGAGCAGCTCAGTGAGAGCCAATCATTACCGGGACGGTTAGCGGCGAGGATCTCGAGGGGCGAGAGCTTCAAACCCATCGGGCCCCAGTGAATTCGGACGCAGAGGTGCCGCAAAGTGGCGGGGAAAGCACCGGGTCGGTCAGAGAGGTTTCGGGGATCAGAGAGGGGCAGAAGAAAAGACTCGGCGTGCTGCTATCTTCTCTGGCATCTATGAGGTGTTCCGATGATGCTCGAGCTTGGGACTATCATCGCTAAGTTTGAGGGCGCGTGGACCTTGATACTCATGTTGAGTCGGAGAAGGGAGATCGGGACTCGTCATTGTGGACGAGGTGTCGGCCGATAATTCTCTCCCTGGGTGTGAAGGAGGCCATTAGATGCCTGGTTGGCACGTTGGAAGCCGTCTCTAAGGTAGTATAACATCATTCATGACGTTTCAGAGGATGTTTCCCCAGACCTCCACGACCCCCTCGGCCCCCATCAAAGGCCCATCGCAGGCGAGACCGATGTCATTATGCGGGCCATTCGTTCATACTGCGTGGTCTAGCCGTTGGGACGGCTCCTACCGCGGCCGAGAAGTTGAGGACGCAGGCACGCAGGGGCGAAAGCACTTTGCAGCCCGTACCTATTTGTTAGCTGTAATTCAGGGGTCGTCGCTGAGTACGGTATGCTGTCACGGACGACCATCCGCCCAAAGTAGGAGGATTGAGATCTGATTGTGTGTGGCAGCTCTTCGGGCATAGCGGCCGGTAGAGATGAGGTGAGGTGAGAGGCATGGCGTCATCACGTGTAATGGCATACCTTTGACGGTAGCGCAAAGAACAGTTCGTTCATATCATCACTTTGAGGTATGTGAGCTCTTCATTCTCTTGTGGTCCGGGTCAGACAGTGTCAGGGTCTGGAACCTTGGCGCGGCCCTGAGTCCCCATTCGAGGCTGAGAGGAGCTCATGGAGAGTGTGGATAGTTATGGTATGATGCAGGTGGCGGGAACTGCTTCATGGGTGCTCCCATACTTAGACGGGAGAGGCTTTTTTTTTTCTCTCATTGTCAGCTGTCGTAAGGGTCGCACGATGATGAGGGAAACTGTAGCAAGGGGTGAAGCGAAAGAAAAAAAAAGAGAATTTAGCTTCAATCGCAGCTAGGTGTGCATGACAGACAATGCAGCAGTGCTCGAACGAAGCAAGACGGGAGCCGCATTCTAGCTAGCAAACGTGCAAATCTGAAGATCTAGGAGAGAAAAGGGTTTCTTTCCCGCCTCGTGGAACTCGGTCTAAGCGGGCTGTCGACGTAAAGAGACGTCGAAAGACATAACTTGTGGTGCTGTCTGTGGTGCTATGAGGTCGTCGCGCGTATCATTCCTTCTTGTGACGGAATGGACCAGCGTTTGAGCCTTTGAGGGAAAAGGGGGGCGTGTCTGTGGTGTGTAACGGAGCAGCTTGTCAAAACGTTACCAGGGAGGGAAGGGGGAAAATGGAAGAAAACGCTCGCTCCAACGTTATGATTGGTTTACTGGGCCGGAAGCAGGGGGGATCCGACCGTCGGACCAGGGGTGCAGGACTGCGGGTGACATCATAGGGCGCCGGGTTAGTGGCGCAGCGTGACTTCACACGAGACTTGATTGGCAAGACCTGACGACACACCAACCTCCAAAGAGCTCCAACGACGTAGATTGAGGCGAGGCCGACACGAACAGAGAGGATGGAAGAGCTGCCTTCCGTCAGCCTTGACGTCTGTGTGCCCCATCCAGCCAGCCCCAAAGTCTGAATTTCTGTCGTCTGCCTAACAAGCACACAAGCTACGGCCGGTTCGAGGTCTGTCCGTCGCTACGCATACGTCCTGTCCACATGCATCCATTCATGGACCATCCTCCATGAGAGCATCCATCCCTCTCTTGCGACCCCCCCCCCCCGGCCGTCTATCTTACGTTACGGTTTGCTGCGTATCGCCTATCTTCCGTCAGAGCTGTCTCGCCGCTGCTCAAGGGAGGCAATCCATGCTCCAATGGGGGTTCTAGGCCATCAATGATCAAAATACAAACGCGCAAACCCGCTGTTTCGGTTACTTTCCTTTAGCGACAAAGTGTGTTTTCTCTCTTGTCAGATCTCCCCGGCCTTTCAATCCCAGCGTGTATCGGAGTTTTAGTTCGCGGACCCCTGACTCTTGCACTGCTTGGTAAATCTCTCACCTGAAGAGATATGTCACCAACTTCTCGGTGAGGGCCTGATCAAGACCGGATGCGGCCTACGGTGCAATGAACCTTGTCTGCTCCTCCGTGACCCGGCTCCGTGATATCGAGGGGCCAAAAGTTGTGCAAAGTTTCCTTGTTGTTGATCTTGGCACCCTGCCGACTCACTCTTCAACTCTGAATAGCTTCGGCATGGGCCAGCTCCGGTGGACCAGGTCAAGTGTGGGAGGGCGTGATGGGGCACGTCAAGATCCCCCTGACATGGGAATCATGGGAATCGACGCAGAGGCCTTTGATGGATGGGGTTGCCACCGGGGTGGGAAGGGGCAATTATCATCCTCATCAATTTCTCGGGAGGGGGGATGGGAAATTGAGGCCCAAGAGTGCCGAAATCTAGTCTCGCCGCTCTCGCCGCCATGGCAAATTGAGCAGATTCCCATGCCGACGGAGGATGGTGGGCATGAGGGCATCATGGAAATTTCTGCCAGGTACGTTCCTGGTGTTTGAGCACGCATGGTCACGATCTGGACATCGTTCCCACTGACATGAAGATCAAACCAATGACAGCTCTCGCAGAGGGTGGAGAACCGGGGGCCTAGCAGTTGCAAAAAGTTGCTGAATGCTTCAGATTTGGCGGCTAGCCTTCACGACTCTTGTTTTGGGGCGGGATCCGTGCTTTCTGCCTTGACGGCGTGGTGTCCGCCCCCCGGCACAGACCTGGACGGCTGGCGCCCAGTTGCAGCTGTTGTGGCCCTTATGAGTGGCACTGTGGGTGAAAGCCGCAAGAAAGGAAGGAAGATGGGACACTGGACGGACCCACTGGCAGCAACGTCCACACCCGGGGTCCGGCCGACGTAGACGCTTCGGCCAATGACGTCTGCTCCACCCGCCGATCTTTGACGACAAGTCTTGCTTGGCTACTGCTTGGCCGCGCCGTTGCCAACCTTCCTCACACACATTCTTGCTACTCTAAGCAAGACAAGCACCACATCCTCTTCTTTCCTGTCATTGAATCTCTTGGACTAGGGCAGCTCTGGTCAAGTGCCAGCAGCGCGTGTCTTTAATGTGAGCACGCTTCTTTTTGCTGGCTTGTGACCCCCCGGGCTTGACCCTCCATCGTCGGTCGTCGTGCAGGCTGCTTGCTTGCTTGCGGATGGCTACCTGTCCGTACGCTCGCTTGCTTGATTCGAGAGTTTTTCATGGCATGTCCCCCGTTCCCCTGGACGGGAAAGAGGTACTATGCAGCCGTGGCAGCACAATCGTACAACGAACATGCCGACCCTCCATCAGAGTTGGGGAGGTTTCAAGCTTTCGATAATGCATTCCTGTAAGCTTATAGGGTGGGTGGCCAAAAAATCCAAGGGTCCAACACACCTTTGGCGTCGGGATGGGCACGATGTTCGAGACAATCCTATTCGCTTGCAGTCTGGCCATGTCTATCTCTACGTAGTGATAGTGCATGGATCGGAAACCCCTCAAGCCTCTTTTCTCAGGGCCTCCCGTCCGGTCCAGAACCTCCAAGGGTAAGAATGAGAAGAGAAAAAAAAAAGAGAAGGACGGGAGTGATCGTCGCTGTCTTTGTCCGAGATTCGGGGGGAAAGACATTTCGACATGTCGATAGGTATCCTGTAGCTCTCTCCAAGGAGTGAGAGGAACAGATGCCCGTACGGAGTAGGTATGTGTGTGTGTGGCCAATAATGACATGCCCGGTGACTTTCGTTCTGGACAACTGATCAGCAGGGTCTTTCCGTTCTCGACCACCTCCCGCACCCACAAACCACCGCTACCACCCTTCTTTTTTGGCCCTGCAGTGTATCACCGTACCGCTTACTGCATCATCAGCCCTGTCCGTGGCAATAACTGAGCAGTGGAGGAGGTCTGCTTGATTGGCCCCTTGCGCCCCAACCCCGGCCCAGTTACGCCATATCGTGCAGACCTCACCCGGGGGTACAGCAGAACGCTAAGACGCCGTCAATCACTGCCGATCCCTAGCGGATTGAGTGTAGGCGGGATATGCAACAGCTCCTCCTTCGCTGAGTGGGAAGGGAAGGGATGAGGGGGTGAGGAGAAAGGAACGGTGCCTGCTTTTGCTCTGTAGTCTGTAGTCTGCTCTCTGCTTTCTCTCGTGTGCTCTCCCACACACTCAGACCCCCCCCTCCTCGACCTCTACCTTGGAGACTGGGAGGGGGGGGTGTACCTTAGCGTAGGTCCCATAGCTTGCAACACCCGCTAGTGACGGAGGACCCTGTGTTTGCCTGATGGGCGGCCGGCTTGCTCACCACCACACAACCCCGTCGTGCCCAACTTTCCCCTACGTCTGTGTTCACCTCTTCTCCACGACAAGCCTTGCAGCGACCCTTTTCGCCCCTCTTATTTTCTTTTATAAACTCAGGACCATGCCCGCCATCCACCGTTTCTTGAAAGTCCGTCTCATCAGCATCTAGCTACAATAACAACAACCTCACCGTTCTCAAAACAACTACCAAGCTTCTATATACAATCAGCTCATCACTTCATCTTCGAAGCAACTCATCAAACAACTACCAATACTCCTTACTAAGACTACATCTCAAGCCTCTCAACAGCGGCTTACTACCAAACAACACCACACATACATCTAAATCGCATCTATGAGCCCTTCCACCATGCCCGCTCGCCAGGACGCCTACTCTGTTTCCATCCCCGTCTCTCCTCCTCCTCCATCAGATATTTCCACCTACATGCGCTCAATGCATCAACACACTAAGCGCCAGATGGAGGCTGCCAACCGCTCCTCGACCAGAAGATCCGGCGGCCGCACAACTTATCCTTCTATCAACGGTCACCACTGTTCATCAAGCCAAGACTCATCGTACTAAAACAACAATCGATAATTCATAATAGTTCCACAACTTGGTCCCGCTTCATCGGGACCTCACCTCATCCATACCAATCACCACGATCGATATGAGAGGTATTTCATTTTCAGCGACTGCGAACAGCAGACAACAGAGTTCATCCGATCAGTGAGATACTAGCGCGATGGAATCAGAACTATGGAAACATTAGCATTTGGCGTGAGAGAGCTTGTTTTTTTTTTTTACAATGGCGGGGTTTGGTTAGGAGGGTAATGTTCCTCAGGCGTTGGCGGTTTGAAGGGTTTCGGGTGGCACGATTTCGAGACGTCGGAGTCTACCTCCCATGATTTATGATAGGAACGAATAAATCGTTACAATCTCTACACTCTTTCTTGCTCCAAGAACTTTTCAATTGTGACATTACACATTACGATACTGTCTGCTCAATTCTTATAACTTGAGCCCAAGAACCATGCCTGGCCGTTGGATATTTCCTTGAACTATGGCCAATATGGGACATCAGAGAATGTCCAGTGCTTGCCCTTATTCCCATCATGTCAAGCAACATACATCACGTTCTACAATTACTAGCCTCTTCCATGGGTAGCCTTCCATGAGGACAACCTTCTGCACCCATCTAGAACCTGCGACCATTTCCAGCGCACAGTTTCCGAAAGGTCGACCATCCTTTCCATCCCTAATTAGACCCGCCAACCCTGCCACGATCGACGCGGTCTAGCCACCCAGAACTCTGAATCGTACAACACAGTAAGAAATTCACCGAGCCAAGAGGTCAGATGCCTGCCGAACCTTCAAGTCCATTCACACGCAAACACACACACACACACACACCCTTACGCAACAGCTTTCGCAGCGCTGGACCTGTCAAGGCCAGGGATCGACAGTGGGGCTTGCAAGAAAAAAAGCACAGACGACCCAGCACCATCTAGAACATAGCAAAGAAGATGCGATGTGCAAAGGGAGGGGAGGGGAGGGGAACGGTCGAAGTGACGTCTTAAAATGCAGGATGGCTAGAGTTTATTTTCGCTATTCATCGTCCGAAGAATTAAAAGTCAAAGGAGACGAGGGGGGGAAAATTGGGGTTGGGCTTCGACCCCTTCTGTCGGTGTTGACCTTTGATTGTTGAACAATTTTCTACCTTACATTGCAATTGTACGTATACCCTTACACCATCAACCGTCTGTCCACCCAATGCCTTGATTATGTACCCTGGGAAGAGTCTGTGCGGTAGACCTCCGTTTTCCGAAACGCCATGCCCAAAGATTAAAGTTTACCAGCAAGTGATAAATAACAGCCCTATTCATCATGGTAAGAAAGGGAAAATGACGTGCAGCTGCTCTCCATTTCTCCTGCGTGGTGATGCAGGTAGGCGACAAATAGCCAGGGGTAAAAGCGCTGCAGCCACGCCCTATGGCCTTCTATTCCCATATCGCGCAGCTCTCAGACCAGTGAAGGCTTCTTTTTGATGCCAAGCGCCGCAGAATAATCCTTCTTCTTCTTCACCACACGTTTGGCCGGAGGCGGTGGCGGCGGCATCATTGAAGTATCCCTCACGGTCCCCGCCGCCGCAGCGTCCGACTTCTCCCCTGACGTTGAGGATGACGAGGAGGATGTTGATGGTCCTCCGATTACCCCTCCGTCATATTCATCATCGTCGATAATCTCCTCCCCAAGCCTCTCCCTTGCAGCAGCGAAAGCCTTCTTCGCAGTCTCCTCGTCCTCCCTCTCTTCCCTCGCCCTCTCCTCGTCCTCGGGCCGGACGACGTACTCAGAAAAGTCCACGCCGTCCTTCTCAGACCGCTGGATGCGCGCGTTGCGCTGGCGAATCTCATCGAGCGCGTCCGCGGCAGCCATCTCTAGCCTCGCATCCTCGTTCTTGGCTTCCAGGTCCGCCATCGCGTTCTTCTCCTCCTCGCCCGCGGCTTCAGCCTCCTCGCGCTCCAGCCGGTCCAGCCTCTCGTCCACGCTCTCCTTTTCGCCTTCCTTGTTGCGCCACGGCTCCATGTTTCGTATTGCGCCCTTGATGACGGCGTAGTCGGCGATCTTGGGGTCGGTCCTGATGATGATTTCCGCCGAGCATCGCGTGCATTTCAGGTAGAAGCGGTGAATCTGGATGTTGAGGTATCGCTCTGCTTGGTTCGTCTCCTTTCTGGAGTTGAACTTGCGGCCCTTGTAGATGTATTCTCCGCACGTTGTGCACTTCATTGAGAAGGGCGCCATAATGCGGACGGTCTGGACCTTGGGGCCCGTCTGCTTCGGTCCGCGCTTGCGCGTGAGGGCGGAGGGATCGAAATCCGGGGGGAAGTACTTCTGGAGCACTTTTCGTTCAGACATGATGGGCGACGAGCTCCCGCGGGGCTATGCGACGGAAAGGTCTGGGTTGGTTGGCGCAATCGCGGAGTGATGGTATGGCCGTCGTGAAACTTTTGGTGGAGTTGATATGGCAAACAAACCGTGAATCTGTGGCGGATGTCACTGATGGTGGGGCACCGTGCCGTATCGGAAGACCGGCAAAACCAAATACCCGGGGGTGGTTACGGTCCCGTTAACACAGCATCCAACTTCCGTTTCCTTCAGACCGTTTTACATGTGACCACTCTTCACGATATTCTCGAATGGACGTTTGTACCTTCAACTCAATCGCGAAATGCCTCTTAAGTCCATTTCATTCATCACGACCTATAGGGTGTCATGCTATGCATTACTGTGAATAGTTCTTTGCTAATCGGCTAGGGAGTACGTAGACAGGCCAAGGTCACGCCACCAGCACTGGAAGCAACGTATGAAGTCCTCGGCAACGACCGCTGGCGAGCCCCAACAAACTCGCGCGGACAACTTTCCATGTCTACACGTGTAGAATCAAGGTCCACCTTCCACCAGAGTCTAGAGCTGATCACGAGCACCCTGGTTTGAGCTTCAATTTCCCGAGTTGGGCTCCCGTTCCCAGTTCCTTGCTGCTACGGATACTCTCGGGCACCAACGCAACACTCAACTCAAAACGCGGACGGCCACCGTAGACGGATCATGGACTTCCGCGAGGGAAGCGCGCGGAGGGCAGAGAGAGGGACGTTGCATGTCGGCAGATCTTTCACCCGCCTCCAGCTTGACAGTCGGCACCCTGGCCGGCGTCAATACAACCCACTCACCCCCCCTCCGGTACGAAAATTGTTGTAAGGGACCCTTGGCTTCCAGTCACGACCGTTGGGGCCCCACTGTCGATCTTGCTCGTTCCAAGGTTCGAGGCTGACTGGAGACGAAAAAGTTGGCATCAGTGAACCCCGTCCCCTGGCGGGCAGGGGCACAAATTGCATCTTGCCTCGACACCGCCGGAGAGACGCACGTCGGGCGGCATCGTGAACACCGTAGTGGTGTTGCGAGTCCCGTCGGTTCCGGCATGAGCGGTCTCGTGGTTGCGACCCCAAGGGTCTACGCTAGCCATCATGAATCACCACACTAGCAGTCAAGCACGCCCTTATGCGAACGGTGTTCTCTCTTTTTCAGGGACGACAACGGCAGCCAACTGCTTAGCGGATTGAATTAGCCTATGAGATGGAACACCCTCAAGCGGTTGGTTGAAGCTCAAGTCTGCATCTTCATCGTCGAGATACCTTGCATTGAGTCGGTAACTGTTGGCATCGCATGATACGGTCAAATTAACCTCTGTTTGTGGCAGCGGCGCTCACCGAGCATCGTCTCATGTTGCTGTTGACCGCCCACCCAGCCCACTAGATCATCGCTGCAAGATTCCAATAATTTCAACCTGCCGCAGGATCCATCCATCTGCAGTGGGAAAAGTTGGCGTTGGCCCGGTGGTTTGACAGCCGCATGGGAATCAAGGAATCCCATGTCGATCTCTATCCTTTTCCGGAATTCTGTAAACTCTAATGCCTTTGTGGGTCTCCAGGACCAAGTTCTCAATTCTGCCAACCATCCCCTACCAACTTGGCAGGGCTCTTCGACATTCAAGCGCCCTCCTTGACACCCACCTCCAGCATTTCAGCCAGGAGGTCCCATTTCACAGCCGCCTCGTCGCTTGAAGCCCTGGCAACCCCTCGTAGGCCCCCACAGATGAACTTTAGGTGCCTCTCGAAGTCTGTCTTAATCTCCCGCAGGCATTCTAGGTAGCCCTTGCCTGCATTAATTGCGCCCCTTTTGGTTCTGGTCCCGAGACACTCCGCACCGTCGTCGTCACTGTCTTCGGCGTAGACAGCCGGTTTTCGGCGGCGGGGACTCGCTTTCATCGGCGAGGACATGATGGAAAGACGGGATAGCTCCTGTTGTTCCTCTGCCTCCTCGGCGACGCTAGCGCCTTGAGCGTCTTCAAGTTTCGCAGCCAGGTCCATAATGTCTAGGATGCCACCGCGTATGGGATCCAGTTTTCTGCCAAGACATGCTGCGTCGATAACCTGCTTCACGAAGGCTTCGTGAAGCCTGATCATGGCATCTACATCATAGGCCTCTCGCAATTTCCAGCGGAGGGATTCTGTGTAAGGGGCTAAAACCAACGTGACCAAATATGTCTGGATGCAGTTGCAAAACCACATCAGCTGCGAGCGGAGCAAGTAGTACATCGCTTTGCTGCCCCATATATCGCTTCTGGACGCAAGTTCGTCGAGGATCCGGTTGCGTTGGATGAAACCGATGGCGCGTCTGATCTGCATCAGAAATGTAAAGACTGCTTGGTATTGGGCACTTGTGTCTTCAGTGACAACAAGCTGCACTGGCCAGGGAAGACGATACTGCAGAACGATTTCTGGCAAGGCCGTCCGGATAAGATCGCGCCCAGCTACGACAGACTTCTTCTGGCCTTCGACTCGGACAGTGACGAAGAGCCGGGTGTTATCAACTCGTAGTGAAAACGCCTCCTGAGCCAGACCAGTCAAGGAGAATCGGTCATGCCAATCAGGCCTGAGAGCATCTAGCCGGGCAAAAACGCCTTTGCAAAATTCATCAGCCGCAGCTCCATCAGCCATGAGAAAGAGGTGATGCAGGGCGCCGATATTCGCCTCTAGGTTACAAGAGTCAAAGAGCGCCTGTTTCAGGGTTTCTGAGGTCGCATGATATTTGCTCTGCATCCATAGAGTGAAGGCCGATGTGAATAGCTCGGGGAATGGCGCAAGTTCCAGGCCCGACGGGCAGACTGAATCGAACGTTAAAGGGGGTTCGTGATCGTCCCAGAGCTGACGAAGTGCATCAAATTTCCCAAGATGTTTGAGAACAACGATGCTTTTTCCAGCCGTGAAAATCTTGCCAACGCTGGGCTGAAGGAAGCCGGGCGCATGCAAGACACCTTCTGACGTTCGCCTCATCTTGAATTGTTCTTGCCAGACCTGACGGAGTGGAACTTGGGTTGGCGACTCGGACACGAAGAAGATCTTATCGCCTGGCACGAGTTGCCCCTCTGACATCCAAAGTCGAATTGGTCGGAGATAGACTTGAAAACAGCTGAAGAATATGCGTCCCAGGAAGTCGTAAGTCGAATCGCGACCTGAAAGCTGGGCCCTGCTGATTTCATCATAGAGAAGCTCAAGAAAACGGAACGCCCCGCCATTCGCAGGATCGTAAAGCTGCCTAACAATCTCCGAGAGAGACCCCAAGGGTTCCATCCGCGGTCTGAGTTCCTCCAGAATTGCTGCCATGCTGATGACCATATCTTCCCGCGCCACTGCCAGATTACCCTGGGTGTGGGATAACCTCTTGTCAAAGGACTGCAGACTGGCAATGACATTGTCACGGAAAACTTGAAAGAGTGGCGCCGTTTGAGGTCTCTTCGAGAAAGTCCGTATCTGGGAAACTTGACGTCCGCATTCCGCGAAGCTGCTCAAAAGTGCTTTGTGCGTATCCCATTCAAGACTGGAGATCTGGTACACAGGGTCGGGAAGGCCATCTTTCTGGAATAACGTTGTGGGCAAGCCTTGCAACATGAAGAGGGCTTCTCTCATGGCCTGGAACTCTGTTATAGCGATCTTTTGTGGCCGGGCTGAAGAGGCGGTCTTCTTGCCTTCCATTCTCCAAGCCTGGCTTTCCTGAACAATCTTGAGGGCGTTCTCGTCAGAGAAAGCAATCTCGAAATCCTCCGGTTTCCTGCCGATCGATGTATCCAGAGTTGAGAGGGAGGTCTCGTCAGAAACACTTGATGTGTCTGACTTGGTCTCGCCGTATTCATCGCCAGAGTGATCGCTGTAATCAATGGAATTCCATATCTCGGCATCCTCGTGCCATCCATCCTCTTTCGCGATGTCTTCCCATCTTAGCGGCGGTTCGGGGTCTCTTTCGGGTTCCTTGAGGAGTTCTAAGTCGCTCAGTCGGGTTTTCTGTGTTGGTTTATCGGCAAGTTCGAGGAGAAAATGAAGGATATCGGGATGCCATTTCGTTCGGAATTGCGACAACGCATCGAGCCGCTCCCTGAAGGCATCCGCCAAGCCTTCACGATGGTGGACCCTGAACCGCTCCTCGAGGCCAACGAGCTGATTCTCAACGTCGAATTGATTGGTGCGCAGGAGGTTGTGATACTTGAGACTGCGATGCGAAGACTCGCGCAACAGATTGAAGCGCTCTCGACTGATGTGCTGCCGTTGGTGTTAGCGACGGGCCGAGCTGCATTGCATTGTGTATGCTCATGCAAGATGGGATGAACCGTCTCCCACCTTGTCCGGTGTCGATGTGATGACCTCGACCAGTTCATCAGTCAAGGCGCCGAGCTTTGCGGCGAATGCCATTGTTTGCCAAAGTAGCCAAATCGCTGGCAGAGAGATTGAGGCTTAGGTCATGAGAATTAGGGGGCGATGTGTCGGCATTGGGCTCATTTGCCTGCATCGTCAAGAGACGCGTTGCAGAAGTGCTTGTCGCAAGTGCACGCGACAGCCATTTAGTGCGCAGGTGGTGTTAGGATGCCGGATAGAGGGGGGGCGCGCGGGGGTTCTGCTCCTCCCTTATCGCTGATTACAGGGATCAGACAGCTGGACAAAGCGCCCGTAGGTCCTTGGTTCTCCCAATGCAAGACGCTAATTGCCAAATTTCACGGGGTGACATCAGCCTCAAGCATACAACGACCTGGGACAACTACCATCGACGCCCCCTTTTCCGATTTTTTTACGCGTCACTCTTCAATCTGGCCTAGTGGTCAACAAATCTCCCTTCCACACCACCGAACGGCCTTCAAAAACCGACGGCACGAGCCGCGACCGAGAAATCTTACACTACTCGATCGACTTCGACGACCTGGCTTTTCCGCTAGCCGTTGACTGTTTGCGCAAACGTCGAACCTGACATTGCTCGACGTCGAGATACCTCCGCCCTCCCACATCCTTCCCACGATCGCTAGCTTGCTTCCAATCCATCGGCCAACATGGCGGTCGCCCGCCCAGTTCGAGCTCTGGCATTAGCTGCCGTGATGCTTTGGTGCTTCTTCCTTTATCAGATCTTTGGCCCCGAAAGGCCGATAAGCCAGAAGCCAGTGCGCTACGATAATGGAAGGGACCCCAATCTCGATCGTGAGTTGCGCCTGCAATTGCTGCAAAGTCATCGCGCAGATAACTGACAAGAGTGTCTCTGCACAGCTACCGGCGAACCTCAAGGTGTTCTAACATATGTCTCCGACAAATATGCCCCCGGCATCGAGGATTCTGCTCGTATCAACGCTACCCTGCTGGCGCTGGTCAGGAACGAGGAGCTGGATGGAATGATCCAATCCATGGTCGATCTCGAGAGAACATGGAACCACAAGTTCAACTACCCCTGGACATTCTTCAACGAGGTTCCCTTCAGCGAGGAATTCAAGAGGAGGACCCAGGCGGCCACCAAGGCTGAGTGCAGATACGGTAAGTTTTTTCGACGTTTCCCTGCGCGGCTCTCGCGCTAATCAAACTTGGTAGAACTCATCCCCAAAGAGCACTGGGAGATGCCCTCGTGGATCAACAAGGACCTGTACGAAGAATCCGTCAAGATCCTCAAGGAAAACGACATTCAATACGCCGATAAGGTTTCGTACCACTCCATGTGCCGCTGGAACAGTGGCATGTTTTACAAGCACCCTGCCTTGCAGCACACCAAGTACTACTGGCGTGTCGAACCCAAGGTCCATTTCTTCTGCGACGTTGATTACGATGTCTTCCGCTACATGCAGGACAACAACAAGACATATGGGTTCACCGTCAACCTGTACGACGCACCCAAGTCCATCCCGACGTTGTGGCCCGAGACCAGAAAGTTCCTCGCGCAGCACCCCGAATACCTCCACGAGAACAACGCCATGGACTGGCTCACCGATAAGGCTGGTCGTCCCGAGAATCACGTTGATGCGAACGGCTACTCTACCTGTCATTTCTGGAGCAACTTTGAGATTGCCGACATTGACTTCTGGCGGAGTCAAGCGTACGAGGACTACTTCCAACATCTGGACCGCGCTGGAGGTTTCTTCTACGAGAGATGGGGCGATGCTCCTGTCCACAGCATTGCTTTGGGTCTTTTTGAGGACAAGTCCAAGATCCACTGGTACGTTCTGTCAAGCTTCACAAAGCTCCATACGAAGGAATAGTCAACTAACATGCATCAGGTTCCGCGATATTGGGTACCAGCACATTCCCTTCTTCAACTGTCCCAACTCGAACAAGTGCAAGGGCTGTGTGAAGGGTCGCTTCACTGATGGTGAGGCCTGGCTGCACAAGGACGACTGTCGCCCGAACTGGTTCAAGTATGTCGGCATGGACTAAACAACCGAAGTGGTTTCAAAGCACGATTGCTGTTCTATGTAATTTTTGGTTGGCACCGATTGGGGATTTCCAGGGAAGCATCTGGGTACATTGGTGTTGGGCGTCTGCGGAACATCCACGCGTGTGTAGAGTACCACGGAGTCAGAGACGGACATGACTCTGTATGATTTGGAAGATTTTGTTAAATACGTGAACGTCCGGAATGACGATACCTCATCACTGTTGCGGTTATATCATAGCGATGCATCATTATAGGCTTCTAGAGTGAACCAAAGACCGTAGCTACTCCCGACGTGCCGCCGACGCAGAACTGATCTCCCCATCCATCGCCCCTCCAGGCCATGCAGCTAATAACATTGCTCCTCTCCTTCTCCTTGCCATCTTTGCCCAGCATTTTCTTTTTGGGCTCGAAGCCCTCTGGGCACGGCACCCGGACCGTCACGACTAGCTTGCCCGTCAAGAGGTCCCATGCCCAAATCTTGCCATCGCCGTTCAAACCGGCAGGCCCCGTGCCAGCCGTAAGCTCATCGCCCGCAATGATATATTTCTCCTTGCTGCCGAGGACGGCCTGCACGCGCAACTCCTCGTTCCTCCACCCGTCATCCGCGTACGTCTTCAGACACGTCCCGCTCTCCCGGTCCATCAGTCGGATCTTGCTGTCCAACGATCCAACCAGCATGGCCTTGCCGTCCCGCGTGAGCTTGAGACTCGTCACGCTCGCGCCGATAACGTCCGTCACGCACCGTCCCATGCGGACGTCGTAGCTCCTCACCCGCCCGTCGACGCTCCCCGCAATGACTTCCGCGTCCCGCACCGCGAGCGCGGTGATGGCGTCCTTGGCCTCGTCCAAGACCTGTATCGGCTTCGCCGAGTTGGATTTAGCGTCCCACACGCGCACGCTCGTGTCGAAGCCCCCTGAGATGACGAGCGAGTCCCCGTCGCCCGCGAACGAGACGCAGTTGACGCGCGCCGTGTGGCCGTGGGCGTTGCCGCCGAAGCGGCGGATCGTCTTGGCCGTGGCGACGTCCCAGAGGAAGACGGCGCGGTCGCCGCCGACGGAGGCGAAGCGCTCGTTGTCGGAGGAGACGGAGAGGTCGAGAACCTCGTAGCCGTGAGCGGCGTAGGTTTGGATGAGGCGGCCTTCCGGGACGGCGGCCTTGGTTGTTCCCGGTGGCTTGTTGCTGTTGATGGCTGAGCCATAGCGCTGGGGCTGGTCGTGAGATGCCGGGTTGTAAAGTCTGATGTTGCGGTCTGCTGAGCCGGTGAGGATGTATGTTCCTGGCGAGGCTGAATATGAGACAGTATGGACAGGCCCTAGTTAGATTCAGCTCTTGAATCCTGTGATTTCTTGAGAAATTTGACTTCTGTTTCTTTCTCGGCCTGTCAGTCTCACGAGGGAACAATACGACGCAACTCACCATTTGAGCCCAGCAAGTGAGCGACCGGTCTGTCAGGAAACGACATCTAGGAAAGTCGGCAATGTGCCCATCACCGAGTTTTTGTTCTGAGTGGACTGCAACTGTTAATTTCTTGACGAAATAAAGATTTCAAATCACGGTTTTTTCCATAATTGTTCCCTCTTGCGATAGATGAAGATTGATGATCTTGGAGTGAGCAAGTGCCTGTCTGAGTGGATCGCTTTAGTGCATATTCGGTGTACCCACACAGACAGCTTCCAGCGATTTATGCTTCGCAAACACTTAAAGTCTCATTGCTTAAAAGCCCAGAGATGATGGCATGAACAATATAATAGCACAGTGCAGCAGCATCTGTTCAATAGGGGGGCGTTTTGACTCGCAATTTGTCCCGTACTCGATTTTCGCGCAACCTGCACACACGCTTACCTTCAAGTATAACTTTCGCCCTTAAATTTTCATCAATGGCCGGTTGGCCCAATGGCAAGGCGTCTGACTACGACTAAGTGTTATCAGGAGATTCTGGGTTCGACCCCCAGGCTGGTCAATTCTTTTGCATTTCAACGCAATTGTTCATATGGAATCTCTCTTTTTGTCTTTCCTTAGCTTCGTTGCCTCTTCTTCATCTACAGCGATATTTCTTGGCGCCATTATGCTCTATGGCGGGGCAACAAGCGCGCAATCGAAGTCCGTCGTGATACTCTCGTCACATCCTCTTCCACATTCATGGCACCCTTGATGTTTAGGCCACTCATTGCGGACCAAGAAGACTGCGACCTAGGGCGCTGCTTGATCTCTCCCAGTGCCGTTGCTAGTCGTTTAATAGCTATGGGCATCGCTTCCCGTTTGTCGGTATACACCAGTCTGAAGCAGCCCGGGACAGTCGAGAGTGAGAGCTATGTTGGTGTTAGTCATTCCTATGGCAAGCTGAGTTGAGTCTCAGGGAATGTCCTACCTCTCCAGGGCTGAGAAAGACACCTGCTTCATGCAAAAGATATCGACAAAGTCTCATATCGCGGCTCCCGGTGAATTTAGTCAGGTCTTCTCCATGATCCAACCAATCCGTCAGCTTGATGAAGATGAAAACCCCACTGTTAGCTGGAACGAAAGGAATTCCGTTCTCCGTCAAAAGCTGCGCAGTAACTTTATACTGCGCTTCGAGCCGTTGCCGATACGTCTTCAAGTATCTACCGACTGCCTCCTCGTCGAGCAAGAAGTGCGTGAAAAACGCAGTCGAGAAACTCGAGACCCATGTAAACAGCACCAGCCTCCTCAGAGAGCGCCAAAGTAGCTCGTTCCGGGTCACGAGGAAGCCGAGCCTCAAGCCACCGCAGCCAAAGTCTTTGCTAGCACCGTACATACAGTGAATGTTTTCCGCGAACACACCGCGAGGTGGGTCGTCCTGTATACTCAGCACGGAGGTGAACGATGGAAGGGCCTGCCCATCTGTCCCTGCCGCTGTGGTGAAGGTCGACATGGCGTAGATCTCGTCGGATAGGAGGTGCATGTCCTTCTGCCCGCAGAATCTGGCAATATTGACTAACGTGGTGCGTGGGTAGGTCCTCCCGCAGGGGTTACTCGGGTTGCAGAGGAGGAGGGCCTTGGGGACAATGCCGTCTTTCAGGGCTGCTGCGTGTGCTCTGGACATTGCTTTGATGAGCAGAGGGGCGAATTGCTCGTCGAACTGGCTTTCGATGGGCTCGGTGTTTACTTTGATCAGGCTGACGCCTGCTCTGGCACATAGATCGTGAGGGAACATCATGTAAGTTGGAGTGATGACCATGATACCCTCGCCTGGGTCGCACATGCCAAATGCCATCATATCTATGAGGGAGGTCACACCGTTGGTGACAAGAATGTCATTGGATGTGACTGGGCGCGAAGGACCGAAATAGCGATTCATGAAGCTACTCATCGCCTTGGCTAGCTCTATCAACTTGTCATCAGCATACAGTGTAGACACCACGGAAGAGACTTGATACTCACCTTTCGGTCCCATAACATCCCCGTATCGAGTTGCTATGTGTCGTGTCAGTTCCAGCCCTCAGTTGAACTATGAGTTACTCATGCCTTTCGCAAAGTCATAAGTCTTGGAGAATTGATCCATCTCCTCCGCTAGCACATCGTCCATTAGACCATTGATGGCACTAGAGAGGTCAATGACTCCATCCGGGCACGTAGCTGGACTATACTGCGGGAGCTTGCCGGCTTCATTTTCCAAGTCGATGAAGCCCCCCGACTCCAAGTTCGCTAAGGCTCGCGAAGATGGTTCGATGACGTGCTTTTCGGATGCCATGTCTTGCGAACCCTTGAAAGTTGATGCTGCGATTCAAAGGAGGAACCTAAACCCCGCCCGAAGCTGATGCTGGATAAGATACGGCACCCCCGACCTGATTCGGCATGAGATAGCCGAAATCTGGATCCTGGCACTCTAAGTCTACGGATACCTTAATTCATCTCCATAGTAGAAAAGCTTACAGACCCATGGAAGTCGCCGTCCGGCCCTGATATCGTCACGAGAAACTCATGTTGCAATGAAATTCGTGTGAAGCTGAAGCTGGAGATCAATCCGATCGATCAAGAAGAGGTTCGCTTTCCAGGCTGCAGGTCTCACACGCGTTCAGTTTTGCTAATCAAACTAACTCGCAAGGAACCTCACACGCCGTCAGTCATGACAGGAGTTGATCTACGTTTCCAGCATTCCAGTAGTCGGATCTGGACCCTTTCCCGCTCGTTCCGGCCCCATCCCAAAGGACCACGGCAAGACGCGTGTGCCGCCCGATGACGCGCATTTCTTTGGTGTGGCTTGCAAGGGAAGACCCCTTTCATTTATATGTTCATACACTCAGGAACCATCCGGATCCTTGGATTCAAAGACTGCCGAGGGCTGAACACGCGCACCCGAACGTTGACGATCAAGCTCATGGTTGGAATGTTTCTTTGCGCCATCTGGACCCCAGCTGTCTGATCTCAATTCTCTTGTGGCGCACAGGGTCCAGCTGACCCGTGGGCAGCAGAGACACAATGTCTCTGTGTAATCAGAACGGAAACACGATCAATTCCTCGTGGGAAATGACTTCATCGCCGTTGCGTCCCTTGTTTTATGACACAGGGTTAGGGTCTTGGTCGTCTTAAGTCCCGAGTCTTCAAGCTCTCAAAGACGGGGTTGGTCTGGCCAAGGGACGCACGGAAAGGCGGGCGGGGAGAAGTATAGCGGTTACTGGCCTTTGTCCGCTGCGCGACCGCTGAAAGTTAGGGGAGGATGGCGGATCTCTCGCGCTGAACCAGCGCAAAATCCATCTCCAAATCGTCTCGCGATTCTTAAGTCCCCGCCACATCAGTTTTTGTATCAACAACCACTGGCCCAGATCGTCTAGTTGGTTAGGATGATACGTTGTGGTTCTTCTATACAGCGATCCGTGTTGACGGCGGTTCGAATCCGCCTCTGGGCAGTAATCTTTTGCTTCTGCCATAGATTATCATTGCGAAGCCGGAATTAACGTCTTTTGGTCGAATGATTCTTAATTTTGTTCTCCCGCGATTTGTGAAGCGCTCGACATGATCTGATGTGGGATGGTAGGTATTATTAACGCGTATGTATCCAAGCTTTTTGAAACTCTGTCTCATGGACGAATCAAGACTGATCGAACATTCCCGCTGCCCTTGACAGTAATCATCTCCCCATCGACATCGAATGATTTCACTTCATGCTCTTCGGACGACAAGTCTGGCCAGTCCCTCCAGAGTTCGCACGAAGCATGTCTCGTAAAATCGTTGCGTCTGACGAGCTTCACGACCCTGAGAGCCTGTTCCTCGTCTCCCACCTCAAATAGTAAGACTCGCGGGCGTAGTCGGCTCCCAATGTCGAGCAGTCTAGCGTAAAAGACGTCGGCATGATCACACCCATCGTACGTGGGTGCCGTCTCCCCTGGCACAAGCGCGAGCTTCGGCTCATACTTTCGCACCGAATAGCCCATCTGGCCTTGGCCATAGGTCCAAACTTTGCGTGATATGTACGGCGGGTTGGATACCAACACGTCACATCGTTGAAGGGACTGCATATCAGCCTCCTGAAAGACGTCTGCTTTCTGGAAGAACACCTTCTTGTCGGGAGAAGGCGATATTAGTGAATTCGCAGCCACGCTGCGCCGCAGGTTTTCCCGCGAGAGGTTGACGGCGATGGGCGAGACATCGACGCCCGTGACACTGAGCTTCTTGGCCCATCGTGTAAGACGCTCATACAGTGCGAGCGCGATACACCCAGTGCCCGTGCAAAGGTCCACGATCCGCAGCTCTCTGCTCTCAAAACCCGGCAGCTGGCCAAGCGAGATCATGTCGGCCAGGTGCAGCGCATACGCCTCCGTCTCGGCGCGCGGGGCGAGCACGCCGGGCCGGCACTTGATATCGAGGGCTCCAAAGGGCTGGGAGCCGAGGACGTACTGCAGCGGCACGCCGCGGCCGCGTTTTGCGCAGAGGCGTGCGACGCGGGCTTCTTGCTCATCGTGCACCGGCAGCAGCACTTTTGATGGCGACTGCCTACCGCTGCTCGCGACGTGCGACCTGATCCAGTGGAGCTCGGTCACCGCGGAGGGTATATCGCGGCATGCCGGCAGGAGGACGGCGGCATGGGGGGAGATGGCGTGGGCGCGGCGAAAGAGGCAGGGCGGTAGGCGAGGCATCTACCACGGTGCGTGCACGCTTGCTTTCTGTGTGTATTTCTCCGACCGCTGACTCAATGCATTGCGCGTCATGAGGGGAAGGATGACTAGATGGCGTAAGGGAATTTGTGGATGAGATGAAGTTTGTGGGAGGGAGGTAAAAGGGTAAACCAGGTGTGAGTTGAAAGTTTTGGGGAGCTTGGGAGCTTGGAGCTTGGGCCACACCGAGCCATGTACACCGAGGCCGAGCTTTTTGAAGCCATCGTCGGTATTTGAAGACCTGAATAAACAAACAACGGTCAATTTGATGGAATATGTCTTACAGTCCCGATAACTTAGATCTATAAGTATGGATGGGAAAGTGGCGTCTTTTTCCTCTCGTATGAGTGGGGCGATTGAACAGAACCCAATTATCTCCCGTGCCTAGGTTGGACTAACACGGTTCTCAACCATAGAGGTCCTAAATCTTGCAGTCACGCGGGATTCTTGGATGGCATCATGCCCTGTTCCAGTTCCGACAAGGCAGCAGAATCGAATCTTCAGGGTACCCTAATGGCTACCTTGGCCTACAAACCAGACATAGCTTCCCTTTCTCTGAAGGCTCTTCCCTGCCGGCATACTTCAGGAAAGCACTTACCTTAGTTTTCTACGACTCATCCTATATTCCTCCTTTTACCCAAGGACTACTCCATCAACCTCTGATTATCAAGTCATAGAAGTATACATCGCCAGATCAAATCACACAACACCTAAGCAACCAACCACTCAAACCCCAAGAAAAACAAACCCGAAATCAACTCAAAAAAAAAACCACAACCAAATCCTCCAAAAATGCAAATCAGACCCCACCACCTCGTCCTCGTCGTCGCAGCTCTGCTCTGCCTCGTCGACTACGCCCACGCAGACCGCTCCTACTACACTTGGATCCGTTACAAGTGCTGCAACCAACCAGAGCGATTGTTTTGCAAAGAGTCCATCGAAAAGTATAGGTTCTGCCAAGCAGCCGCCCGCATGGGCGGCATTCCGCCCCTGGTGTGCAGGGTGACCCAGCAGTGGAACGAGAGATCCCGCCAGGCGTGCCGGCCTGGTATCGAGGGCCCGTCGGACTGGGTCGATCCCGATAAGCCTCATCGCCCTCCTATGAAGTAAAGGAAGGGGATATCAATCTGTTTTTTCGGGGGGAGGGGGGGAAGGTCCGAGGATACGACGATGGGACCAACCGTGTCGCTCTATTTAGTTTCGTCCTAATGGGAAATCGAAATCTGGAAGCGAGCTGGGAAGATGGTAATATCGCTCATGGGCCAGAGTCATCGCCTTGTAGTCCCCGAAGTAAAGGGATAGAGCCATCACAGGATGCAGTTGTTGTTCGCGGTCATTCGACTTCCAGTCTCCGTCATAATGCATGGAGTTTTTGTACTTAGCCTATCTGCATAGACCAGTCAGTGTTCATCTAAATTGTCCAGTTCAAGGCCGTCGAGTGATATTGTATGATATGAACGTTATAGAGACATTGAATACATTGCACCCATGGCAGTCAGAGCGGATAACAAATCATAAAGGCTTTCTTTTTGTTCCAAAAAATAACGAGTGGGTAATCGCGACTAAATACCAAGGTCGTACAATACTGTTACAGAATCTCAACCCCCTTAAGGCGATGGGTATATCATCCCATCCGTAAAACTCCCCAAACCCGAACCAAAAAAGTAAGTAACCTTGGAAGAGAAACTTCACACCTTCGCAACCGTGATATTCATGACGTTGTTCTTGTAATCCTTGATGAAACTCTCGTAACGCGGATAAACCTCCTCGTCGTCGACCCGAAGACGGTCCTTTTGACCCTCATTCTCTTCCTTCTCTGCCTTCTCTTCCTTCTCTTCCTCCTTTTCCTCTTCGTCTTCAGAGACATCTTGCTCCTCCTTCTCGACGGCGTCAGCATCCTCCTCTTCCTCTACTCTAGTCTCGTCTCCTTCCTCGTCGCCATCCGAATAGTCTTCCCAGAAATTGCCATCCTCAAAGTAGTAGTCCGCCCACTCGCCGTAGACTTCCGGCTCAGCCTGCTGTTGTTGTTGCTGCTGCTGCTGCTGCTGCTCCTGCTGTTGGTCCCCCTCGATCTCCCCTTCCGGCCGCGCCTCTGGCAGCCAAGACTGGAATCTCGATATCGGGGCCCCAGTGTTGAGAATGGTATCCTTGGACGAGCGCCATGAGTACTTCCTCGGCACCGGCTCCGGGCTTATGCTCATCTGGTGAACAATATGATCTGACGGCGGAGGCGTCATCGGTTCGGATGTCGCACGGAGGCGGGGGTCTGTGAACGGGGTCGCAGGCCGGTCTTTTACCGGTGTCAGGAGCGGAGGCGAGTACGAGCCGATGGACTCGTCCCCGACAACAGTGGGAGACAGCGCTTCGGAGGATGAGCGGACAGTAACTCGCTGGGGGCATGGGGAGTCAATGTTCCTCGACGAGAAGAGGGACTCGATGCTGTCATCGGACCAGCGAGATGTGTTTGCCTTGGGCGTGTGAAAGCTCAACCGTGATTGACTGCGGGACAGAGTAGGCGGCGGAGAGAGGGGTGCATCGCCAACGGCCATCGTAGGACCGCATGAAGGCTCTTCGTCGATATCCCCTGCGTCGCTAACACTGGGGGTTCTGGTGTGGTATGACCGCCGTGATGCCATCGTCGACTTGGTCGAGCTTCTACCCACTTCCACGACCTTTGCTGGGCCAGAGGAATTGGTCCTTGCTAGACGAGCTTCTTCCAAGTGCACGCTCTCTACCCTTACACTCCGGAGGTACCTGCGGTCCTCCACATCCTGCTCCTCCGGATACGGCCACATCTTGAGGCCCGTCTTGACGCCTCCCCTCTTGTGTTCCTCTTGTCTCTGCAGCGACATGAGGAATTCCATGCATTGCTCGTCATTCGGAATGGCCCGTCTCGATATCGGCCGATCTGGCCTGTCGGGCGTGTGTATAATTCGAAACGATGAGTCCTCGTCAAGAAGTCTCGGTGTTCTCGGTGATTTGGGCGATAGAGGGAACCTCGGCGATTTGGGTGATAGTGGAAACCTTGGCGACTTTGGTGATTTAGGAGACGTCATGAGGTTCTTGATCTTCAGACCTCTCAGGTACGGCGACAATTGCGTGGTCCAAGTCGATTTCCTACCATGATCATTCATATTGACTGTTTGCGGGATTGTCCACGAGGAAGGCAATGCCGGCGGGGCCGGGTGTTTAATGTCCATGGCTCCAACAGAGGCTTCGAGGAACAGCACTCCTCTTGACAGGCACCGAGGCAGGGGAGAAAAAACCTGGATGGCGAGAGTTTAAGCTGCTTATGCACTGTCGAGGGAAACACTTTGTAAAGGCTGCAGGCGAAAGCCCATCATGGTGGTCCGGTCGCTGGTAGACAAAGAATGCTTAGTTGAATAGCTTCTCATTTCAGCCAAAGACACTGAGGAATGTGGCCGGCCCAAAAGAGTTTACCACCACATTCCTTTGTCCCGGGTGATGATCACCGACAGAAGCCGACACGCTGAGAAAAAAAATAAACGCCAAAGTATGAATAAACCCCCGCGTGGTTTGACCTTATCATGGATGTTCTCCCTCGCAGGTTTTGAGACACTGCCCCACCATGAGTTCAGACTATAGCCCAACCGTGACAGTCATGTTATTACTCAGGACCAACATGACGGGAGGGAGCTCGTGGCAGAGGACTTCAACGTCCGCTAGATACTGCACGCTCGCCAGCTCATCCTGGCAAGTCCCCTCCGTGGGCACGGGCAATGTTGTGAACATGACGGCTGTCTCTTTGCTATTCTGCCGCATCAGCTCGTTGAGAATGACATGCTGCGCTCGCGATGGCAAATCGTTGAATGAGAGCGAGATGCCCTGCGTCGAATAAGGCGAGCCGGGCCCGTCTGCGTCGGGTCTTGAGTCTAATCTGTAGCGTCCCACAAGCTCCGCCATGTTCATATGGACGTCGCCTAGATCTGCAGTAGACGCGACCGAAGCTTTGCGTGATCTGCACGATGGTTCCGCAAACGTATTATTCGGCTCAAACTCTTCAGCCGCCGTCACCGTCATCTCGGGCACTGGCCGACTGGAGAGCCGTTCTGCAGAGGATTGCCTTGAGAATGCGGGTTGTTCCGCCCGCGGCGTCTCTTCCTCAGTGGTGTCTGCAAACATGATTGTCGGACCAGACGCGCCCTCCACATCGGTTCTCGTCTCTGGCATTGGACGACTTGAGAACCGCACTGCTGATGATTGTCGAGAGAGCGTCGGTCTTGTTGCTGGGGTTGCTTTCCCAGATACGCTTCCCGAGGTCGCATCGTAAGTGGTGATGCCCGCCGACCGGAATCCACCCATGGAACGAGCAGAAATGTTTCGATCGAGCACAGGTCGTTCCAGCGGAGTAGGAGGCGCTGACACGTTTTCGACTCTTCCCACTTGGCTTGGGCCCGCCTGCCCTTCAGAACGAGCTTGTGACACCATCGTGCCGTATGATGCTGCCGGTGCAGCGCTCTTGTTCGATTTGCTCCTTTTCTGTTTCGACGGACTCGTGAGCAAGTCGTCGCTCTGGCTTCGTCCTCGCCCTCGCCCAAGTAGCAACGGCCGTCTAGGGGCGTCTACTTCGGGCATCTCGTCCTCGCTGTAGTCGCTGCTGCCAGGTTCAAATTCGGAATCGGAATCAAGGCAGGATGGCTGCTGTTCTTGATCACTCATCTCACCGTCGGAGCCAGAGTCGTCTTCAAAGACCTCATCTCCCAAGTGAGACGTGTGAATTCCAACACTGACGCCAAGGCGGGACAGCTTCGAAACCGTCGGCTTCTTGGGCAGTTCCCCAAAGTGCACCAAACTTGGTCGCCGTCCACTCTCAATGTCGTCCAGTGATACATGCGGGTTAAACACGCCAGGCCGCCCTGCCGTTGACTCGATGATATTCGCGAAAGACGTGAGCTCTTCTGTCGAGTTCAGGTTTGGCTCGCGGCCTCGAAACCTCTGGAGGTCGTCCCACCACTCTTCATCTTTGAGTATATCGTGCACCATGACCTGAGACTCGAGGTCGTTGCTCTGGCCATTAATAATCAGCTCGTACGTATTGAGCTGTCCAGAAGCCAGCCAGAACACGATGACCTCGGCTTCGATCCTCAGCTTGTCTAGCAAAGCCTTGACCCGCGCTCTCTCTTCTTCTACTTCACTTTCATACTCCACAAAGACCATGACGCGGATGTTGTAGACCTTGTGCCACGTCGGCACGCTGTAGAGGATGTAGCCGAGTTGGAGAATCAAAGTATCTGCAAATGTTTTAGTAGGATTCTGACGAAGACATCAATATTCCTCACATGTGTCGAAGTTGGTTGTCAAGACACTCTTCCCATCTGACAAAACTTCTGCCGACATCTGGATCGGCCAGAGATCGAGATGTTTCTTGATGTTGGCCTGGTCCTTGCGCGGCGTTTCCAAGTTTTCAAAGCCTTTGCCAATCGCAACGTTGAGTTTGTACCTCAGAGCGAGGTCCTCCAACATTGTCATGTAACTTGTGACGCTCATCATGCCCTCTGTCTTCATCACGTCGGTAGGCAGCATACCTTCCATCAGACGCGCTGATGTGTCGCCCCGTCTTCTGCGTGGTGGTCTCTCTTTGGCTTTGGCCTGAGGACGAGCGTTCGAGCTCGACGAGCTTGGAGCTTTCGGAACTTGGAAAGAAGGACGGGAATCTCTTAGCTCGTCCATATTGTAAAATCCCATGACGGCAATGTTTGGCCGCATGCCACCCAAGCCAGCTGACAAAATCAAGTTTCGGATACCCCAGGTAATGGTCGGGGACATTGTTAGCTGCACAAAGGCCTTGATGCGGGAGAACTCTGAGATGTACTTTGTCCATGCTGCCTGTTGAAGCCTTGCTTCGTGAACGCCGCTGCTGAAATCGTCCGTCACAATAACGTGGCCGAGTATATAAAGACCCCCTTTCTTGACGGAGTTGCAGAATTGAATCAGCCGAGTTTGACTCCTAGGATTGTTGATGAGTAGAATGATTTGGGGCCTCCAGAACTTGATATGCTCGGGCCGTAGTCGCAGCAAGTACTTTCTCACTTGATGGTAGATGAGGTTTTGGGAGACATCACCCCATCGCTTCGGTGGACTGAGATAGTGAATCAGAGAAAAGAGGAAGATGAGCAAGCAGACCGCCATAGCCGCGTAAGTCTGGTCGATGAAGAACATAGCTGCCGCAGACATGATGCTGCCAGCGAAAGCTGTCTCCCAACTGAAGAACTTGAACGCTGGCCGAAAGTTGGGAGCTGATCCTATCTTGAGTAGGAAACATGCTAGATTCATGACGAAGAAGGTCATCTGCTCTTTGTCAGTCCAAAATAGCTTCATATAGATTGGGTAGGCGGGTGCTCACCTGGTAGCCCATGGAAATCAAAGTCGCAATCTGGTTCAGATTGGCAAACATGGCGATTTGGGCAAGTACATACGTGAGGATGATGGCTTGAATTGGTTCATCTGCCCTCTTCGTCCCTTTCGAGAATGGCAGCAGACCAGGAAGCAGTTTGTCCCTCGCCAGGGCTTGCATGAGCTTTGCAGCACCAATAAGTCCCATCACGGCGGAGAAGAAGGTGACGGCACACTCTCCTGCAAGGATCAAAGGCGGGGACAAGCTCGTTACCGAGATAATGTTTGTGTTGTTGAGAAACGAAGCATGCGTTGTGGTGGAAGCCATGGAAAAGACTACAACCAGGTACGCAATGAACGTGGTCATCATCGCCCAGAGAGTCCCTTTCGGGATGTCTTTGCTGGGATTAACCAGATCTCCAGACATTGAAGCCCCTGCGAAGATTCCTGACGTGGCAGGAAACAGGATGGCAAAGACCTCTCGAAAAGTTTCAAAGCCCTTGAAAGATTCGCTTTTTGTATGAGGGGCAAAATTGTCCACCAACGTCTCGATACTAAAGCCGGTGAAGCGTACACCAAGTCCATCGTCCCGAAAAGGAGACTTCAATGCGGAAGATATTGGAATGCTTATAATGGCGAGACTCAGTATGACAAGCAGCGCATTGCTAGCCTTGGCAAATATGCCGCTCCCGGCTAAGCACAATCCAGCACAGAGAAGCAAAGCCAAGGTCTGGAGCATATAGACAGTCCAGTAACCTTGGGGAAAGGATTCCCCGACGTTCAGCTTTATGCAGTCAATGAGGCCAACAACGTTGAGAGCGGTGTTGAGAACTTGGGCGAGATAGAAGAGCATCCCGATGGAACCGCCAAACTCGGGGCCAAGAGACCTCGAGATTACGTAGTAGGCGCCTCCGCCCTTGACTTCGCCATTTGAAGCTATAGCAGACAGAGAGAGCGTTGTCAAGAAGTCTACAAGGTAAGCCGTAACGAGTAGTCCTGTGGATTTTGGTTAGTGTGGATTGAGATGGAGTGAGCGCATCTGTGTTAGTAGCTGACGAACCAAGCATGCCCAAAAGCCCAACCTGTCCGAGAATCCAGCCAAAACGCAGAAACATGAGAATGCTGAAGATGTTGAGACAGACGGGGATGTAGACGCCCGAAACTGCGCCCAACTTGGCCTTGGTACTAGTCTGCTCCATGCTGGAGAGACTCGGTCGTCTGTCGTCGCCGCCCATGGTGAAGGTCGAAAAAGGGGGTTCGTCGTAACCAACAGGTCGACCCGGAACTCTTCCCGGAAACGGGGACGGGTGAATGCGCCACCTCCACGATCGTTTTCCTCGGGGTCGAACCACAATGAAGAGCCGACAAAGATTCGACGAACTTGAGTGAGGGAGATGGGATGGTTGTCGTCGGTCAACAACAACCTAACGGTGTGGGAGCGCAGCGCATAGGTATATAACTTAGAGTCCCCGCCCTTAATCGCACCAGTGTGCAATGTCGGACTGGGCTGGCTAATCAATCCCCCAGTGCGTCCAAGTGTAGTTGAACGATGGCTTGCGGCGCGGCGGCGGTGATCACGGCGACCAGTAAGAGGATGGCCTGGTTAGGACGGCGGGCCGCACAGGCATCCAACTGGCCCGGCGTATGTCTCGCGTCTTTCCTGTCGTCTCGTTTTCAGGGTTCACCGTTCTGCGAGCCAGGGATACCTGGGGCGATCCAATGCAAGCCTCTCCAATACCCCGCGTGCCGATTGGAAAGCCGCGATATGCTCCAGCCGGTCGCGCCGTGTTTGTTGGTGATCCACTCACACAACCAAGCACCAAAGTCTGGGAAATGCAGTGAGATGCACAACAAGAGGCCGAAGTAGGAAGACGAAACGACGTCATCCAGCAGCGAGGGACAGATCGGGACCGGTCAGTCGCCAATGCGTGACAAGCGGTCACTGTGGTGGCACTGTGGGTTGTGCAGAGCGTTTTCTCGTGTCCAAGGATCTGTGAGGAGGGGTAGTAGTAGGGTATCCTGCAGAATCGAGGTGCGATTTCTTTGGAATTCCGTGAGGTAGGTAATGTATCTGTAGCCTGCGGGTAGCACGTTGATGTTGTTGGTTGGGTACGTCGTCCGGTTTGCCCGATCCCCCACGAGCCTTGAGTGAGCTTCCATGCCACAGATAGATAGGCGTGATAGGGTGATGGGCATGGCATCACAGGCCAACGAGAATAGCGTCAAGTGTCAAATGCCTGGCATCTGTCAGCCATCTGGCTCGACGTTCCATCTGATGCTGGCGCGGCAGGGTTCGTCCTCCAAAATAGAAAACCAGAGACCAGTCCGTTAACTCAGGCGCATGACAGCGGTAAGCCGGAGATTTCAATGGGATGGGCCGGATCGGCCGCTGGTACCGCGAATGAGCAGTCACCAGTGTGGCTTTGCCGCTTATCAGCCAGCAACATGGGAGTGTCAGTGTGGGAGTGTCGAGTGTCTCCCGTCTGCTTCATGACTCGATGATGGGGTTTCAATGTCAGAGGTGAAGGGTGAAGTGAAGGGCGAAGAGTGCAGGCGCACGGGATGCGAAATCAGCGATGACCACACCCAGGCACCCAAGGCACACAGGTACCGCTACATGCGCGAGTCCCGTCGAGTCCTGAGGTGCCGCTGTTCACAGTCAGTTCTGGCCAAGGGAGGTGGAAGGCCGCTGAAGAGCACCCGCCGCGGGGCTCCAAATCACACCCAGCCGTGCCAGCCCACGCCAGGATGAGCGCGCTAGCCCCCCACTCTCCCTCTCACTTCACCGTGCCACCGTCGGAGCAAGAGGGACAAGTGAGGCGGGAGGTGCATGCGGCCAATGAGGCCTCTTCGCTTACTGTGGCGGTCGAGCTGTGCCTTACCTAAGCTGGTAAGATCCGGTGGGAACCTTGGTTTTTTGGTAGTGTGCGCTGGCAAGCAAGACGAAATACTCGGCTCATTTGTAGTAAAAATTGTGAGTCGTATCCATTTCGAAGCGTTTGAGAAGTCTTGGGAGGACCGGAGGATGGCCGATCATGGAAAGAAAAACACATATCCCAGAGATTTTCGCTGTGCTGTTTTGTTGTGTTGAATCAGACATGCGACTGACGGACAATACGAGCCGGTCCGACGGCCCAAAAGCACAGGTCCTGGCGTAGGTAGTAGGTACAGTGGCACCATGGCATATGCGGTTCCCGGTCAAAGAGTTCAAGATATTACATAAGAATAGGTTAGAGACGAGCGCAGAAGAAGTTGAGGCAGTGAGACAAAGACATGAATTAGACAAGGAATAATGGTTGGAATGACCTGGAAACCTTGTTGCTGTAGGGGACTCGAGATATCGCTGCGGCAATCTAGAGTAGATAGATACCCAAGATAATGCATCTTATCGTTGGTGGCTGGAGCTTGCAAGCTGTGACATGGAGCATAGCGATGTGATGATTCAAGAGTACCGTTACCAAGCACTGGAACCTGGGAGACCTGGCAAACCATGTCTGAGACAAGTCCTCACCTGGGGCAGCGTAGAGCGGCTAACACAGGCAGAACACTGCCTTGAGAGCGAAGCATGGTCAGCATGCCCGGCGGAAGAAGCAAGGAACCCGAGAGAGCTCCTGGGCTGTCGGTTGTCATAGCCCGACGGGTTTCGGCAGCGCAGCCACAGCACACCTTCTGAACTTCTCCCATGCCCTGCTACAGGCTGCCAGGTAGCGCTACCTACCCGACGCTATCTGTGTGAGCCACAGACTCTCCAGACCTGCCAGATTAGGTCACCCGACCCGCATGGAAGCGGCGTCCTTATCACGGGTTCCCAGTAGCAACAGCTTCGAACGCACATCCCCCCAAGCCGTGCGCTGCAATTGATCTCGTCAGCTGTCTTACAACAGAGTCCAGGTAAACTCTCCCCGTACTTGATTCGAACCTACATCTTCTCCATCATCTAGCTCTCGTTTTTCTCTCGGTTCCGTCTCATCTTCTCCTACCCATGACACTTTGCTAACTTTGTTGTCTGTTGTTGATCCAGTTCGGAATCTGCAACGCTGTGGTTGGAGGCTCTTCGATATACCGAATACCGGCTTTCGACAGTCCCCGACCGGTTTCATTAGCCACCATCATGGCATCTCCTTCGAGAGATCCCCTCAGCATTCCTAGGGCCGACTCCCCGTCCCGACAATTCGGCTCTCTACCTCGAGCAGACGCCACCGCTCGACTGGCATCGCCCGTACCGTCGCAGCAATATGGCACTCCCCAGACCGGCCGCTTCGTCGGGAGCTCAAGTAGGCTAGGCGACGCCAGCGAGACCGCCAGCCTTGCTCCTCTTGCTGGAGCTGCTCCTTCAAGTGTTCAAGGTCCCGGCGTCTCGGCTCTGGCTGCCGCCTTGTCCAACTCTTTGGGAACATCTCCACCGAGACATGGCACACCACCGGTGCGTTCTGCCACTCCTCCGGCACGACCTCTCTCCCCTGCTGCTGCCGGCGCTCAGCTTTCGAGCACACCCATGACCAACTATGGATCTTTCGACTCTCGTTCGCGAAACGCCGGTGCGGGTGCCTACGAAGACCCCGAGATTGTCAAGAGGCATTTGGTCCAGCCTACCGACGCTGCTTCCGAAGAGTCTAGCATGCGTGATGGTGTGAAGGGTAAACAGACCGTGAACGCCGATGCCGAGACCGGACTGAACGAGGACGAATTTTCGAGTTTGCAGCTGCAAGGCGGAGACGTGACTCGAGGCATTTACAAGTGGACCGAAGAGGCAGAAGCCCGCAACAAGATGCAGCGCAGCAAGAGTTTCAGCATTTCGCGTCCGGACCCCGAGACCGATATTCTTGACATCAACACGATCAAGGTTCCGGGAGGTTTCCGTCGCAACTACCTGCGCAGGGCGGCCAGAAGCCCCTCTACGGCCAGAGATGGTGGTGAGCGCGGCGAGGCTAGCGAAGCCTCTCAGCCTCGGCTGCTGACGTCCAGCTTCCTCGAGTTCCTTTCTATCTATGGCCATTTTGCAGGTGAAGAGTTGGAGGAAGACGACGAGGCCTTACGACCCGGCGAATACTTCTCCTCGGGCGAGGACATGTACGAAAGCGACGACGATAGCGGCGACGACGACAGAGAGCCGATGGAAGACAGCGCGCTGTTGACGCCATCGCGCCATAGAAGGAGACGCAAGCAGCGTGGTGGCAGTGGAAAGAACAGCCCTATGAGCGCGGCATTGCTTCTGCTCAAGTCATTCGTTGGCACTGGAGTTCTCTTCTTGCCTCGTGCTTATCTGAATGGTGGTATGGTCTTCAGCAACGCCGTCTTGCTTGGAGTTGCGGCGCTGAGCTACTACTGCTTCGTTCTCTTGGTCACGACTCGTCTCAAGGTCGACGGATCTTTTGGTGATCTTGGCGGCATTCTTTATGGCAAGTGGATGAGGGCGACTATTCTCACATCTATCGTTATAAGTCAGATCGGATTTGTGGCGGCATACATGGTCTTTACGTCAGAAAACCTGCAGGCCGTTATTCTAGCAGTATCGGACTGCAAATCCAACATCGCTGTCAAGTGGTTGATCCTCTTGCAGGTGCTCGTCTTCCTGCCATTCTCCCTCTTGCGAGATATCGAGAAGCTGAGTTTCACTGCTCTTATCGCGGACGCCTTCATCCTGCTTGGCCTGGCCTACCTGCTATACTACGATATCCTTACCTTGAGCACCAACGGCATTGCGGACATCATCCAGTTCAACCGCAACGATTGGACCTTGTTCATAGGCACAGCAATCTTTACGTTTGAAGGAATTGGCCTCATCATCCCTATTCAGGAGTCGATGAAGAACCCCAGCAAGTTCCCTCGTGTCATGTTGGCGGTCATGATCATCATCTCCGTCATCTTCATCGGCATGGGTGCCATCTCGTACGCTGCCTACGGATCCAAGACAGAGACTGTGGTGCTCCTCAACATGCCCCAAGACAATAAGGCGGTCAACAGTGTCCAGTTCCTTTACTCTATCGCCATTATGCTGTCAATTCCTTTGCAGCTTTTCCCCGCCATCAAGATCACCGAGAATGCGCTGTTTACCAAGAGCGGAAAGTACAACCCCTACATCAAGTGGCAGAAGAACCTGTACCGCTTTTTCTTTGTCATTCTTTGCGCCGTTATCGCATGGGGTGGTGCGGATGATCTTGACAAGTTCGTTGCCCTTGTCGGTAACTTTGCCTGTATTCCGCTTGTCTATATCTACCCGGTGAGTATAGCCATGCACATGAGCCTACCAATGTGGGATACGACTGCTGACCTTCGAATAGCCCCTGCTTCACTACAAGGCCGTTGCGAGAAACAGACTCTGGAAGATTTCCGATATCATACTCTGCATCTTTGGCTTCGTTGCCATGGCTTATACCACAACCTTGACTGTTTACAGCTGGGCTGGTGGCTCTGATGAAGGCAAGCCTCCGGCATACTGCGACCGCAGGGGGAAGTAAGTTGGCACAAAGTGCCTCAGGGAAACGCATGCGACTGCATTTTAATTGTCATTCAGTGCTGTCTGAAAAGCGTTGGGTAATCATTGCATGGATTCCAGCGGGTTCTTCAAGGGTTTTGGACAGCATCGGTCGGTCGTCAATGAGCATGGGCTTGTACATAGACTGAAGAACAAGAGGCTCATCGCCACGTTTATAGTTCTGTATGTGTATACGTAGTAGCGGTTTGTTCCAATCAATCTATTCTTCAGTTAATTCTGAAAAGTCCCTGAAAACATAATAAACATGGAGCTGTAGATATCACGTGTCTCAGCGATTTTGGATTCAACATGTGTAGGTGGAAAGGAAGATGTATGAAGGGAGCAGCAATATGCACCGCCACATTTGTGCATCTGTGGCGCAGCTCAAATTCTGGAGGACCCACCATGACTTCAGCCCAGGGAGGCATCCTCAATGAGAAGGAGCCTGAGCTTAACCACATCCCACTCACTCACCACGATCTCTCATACCCCGGGTGAACTCTCAAATTTCACCATAGTACCAACACAAAGGTATGCATCAATCTCCCGTCATTAAATCGCAATTGACTAACCGGTTTTCAGTCTCACTTTGGTTTCCTAAATTCAATAATTTTAACCACGCATTGTCTTCGGCTTTGTCCTTCAAGTCTCGTTACCACCGACTCCACACTCCCGTTCACCATCACGAATCAACAAGATGAACGCGCCTGATCGGTAAGACGATCTTATTCCCCTTTGTTCTTGTGAGATTGGAGAGTAATCTAGGTCTGCCTGGTCAGAAGCCAGACTCGAGACGGCTTCACATTGTCATGATTCCCTTCGGGCTCCCCTTCAAGTTGCCCTCGAGGTGGCCGTGGTCTTCTTCTGGCTTCCTTGCCTGGCTCTGCCAGAGGTGCCTTCGCAAGACATGGAACTATTTTCACACCTCTATCCCATATCACAACATTTTCCTTGCTGTTCCATACACGGTCTACCGCATCGCTGCTTTCCGAAGCATATCAAGACTCCAGAACCACCTCTCAGCATACACCTAAGCCACATCATGTCCCTCCAAATTGATACCGATCCTTCTCGGCGCGTTTCTTTGGCATCAAATGAAACTCGGTACACTGAAGCTAACTCCTTTCTAGTTTCGAGCTCTTCCTGCTCGGTGATGGCGAGAAGAAGATCGAGGAGAAGGTCTTCTCCGGTACGTTTTCCCCGCCCTTTGACCATCTTTCTAGCCATTCGGCTGAGCTAAACGCTTCACAGGAATGTCCAACACCTCGGACTTCATCATCAAGAAGGAGGACCACACCCTCGGCAACCTCTTGTCTGAGCACCTCAAGATGCACAAGCACGTCCTGATGGCGGGTTACAAGAGTAAGGCGCAATGCTCCTCAACCAGCGTCACACATATACTGAACTCTCATCACAGTCGCGCATCCAAACGTCCCCGAGATGTTCATCCGAGTCCAGACAGACGGCTCGATCACCGCCAAGGAGGCCTTGGTAGAGGTCATTAAGAAGCTCATGCAGGACTTGTCGCACCTCAGTCGCGAGTTCACTCGCGAGTTCGAGCTTCGTCGCATGGTCGAGGCCGGCCGTTCGAGTCAGCAGGGCCAGTAAGCTGGACATACTTGAGACGATGGGTTACATCTCGCATGGGATTTTTTCCTCTAGGCGTTAGGCGGATAAGGTCATTACGGAATAACGGTCTGATACCGAAGTTTGGCATGGGGAATCGTCATATTGGTTTTCGCGTTCTGGGCTGAGCAAGTGCCTCGGATTAGAAAAGTTGATCATTGCGCATTACGTCGTCAATTACGCGATGCTTTGAAAGGCTCTCTACGTGAAATTTTGTGATGTGTATGCCCAGTTCCCCGAGGCCTTCTTTCGTGATTTACCCTTGGGCTCCGAGTCAACGCTTTCAGCTTTCATGGCGTGCTTGCTCGTATTACCTTGGCCCCGTCCTCATAAGACCCTCTAGGTTATCAGAATGGTGAACTTAGTTTATCTGCGATCTTGAGGAGCAGCTGCCTCTGCTCAAATTTCTTTCTCTCCAAGTTTCTTCATGCTGTCACTGGACCTTCTCCTCCAGGAATGAGCTGCGCACCATCAGTCTCTGTTTCTCCTGTCAAGAATCCCGAGGGGGAACTACGTACCATGCAAATGTTGTTGCCGTTCAGTAGGATCTTGGGGAGCTTTGTGTGGTTTCCAGAGTAGTCGCTAGCCGGTGGTTAGCAGGGGACATGCGCTTCCGTCAGACCGGCCACCTACAATTCTGTCACGTCCTCCAACACCATGTCTGTTTTTCTTGTCAGAGATTTCCGGTAAGGGGTTAGCTCAACCTCAGAAGTTCACTTACTGACGTAGTCATCGAAACCCAGGAGTGTGCCGCTGAATTCTGCCATCCCTTCGAGTTAGCACATCAGTATCGTTTGAGCACAGGACGGCCGAATCTACCCTTGTCGCCCTTCATGACAACCCAAATCCTCGATCCAACACACTTGTCGATAAGTTCTACGTTCGTCAGCTACGATAATCTGCGTTTATGGGCTTGTCTACTCACCCAGAGGGAGCAGTTGCGAAGCCATTTTGCTGCTTGAAATTTCGAATCTAATGAATGTTCTGAGTTTTTCTGGTTTGTAGTTTCCGTACAGAGGTTCCGCAGGGATTAAAGTCGTCAAAGTACTTGATGGTCGTTTCGATACACCAAACGAAGGTTCCTTGCCAGCCACCAAAACGTCGATGCTCAAGATGATGGACGTCGTGCACCTGGGCCAGAGGGGTGAGCGTAGAAGCCCAAGTCAGGTGACTGCGCGATGAGTTGTGAATGACTAAGCCGCATCGCCCTGGAGCTCCCGCTGCCGCCAACTGGTCGCGCATCACTCACAAAGCCTACTTTAATTGAACCCCTCCATCACCCACGACGCGTCTGCCTGAAGAATACCCGTTCTTCACTTTGTCGCGCCAATGCCCGGTGGCAAATATGGCGCTTCACTCCCCCCTCAGATACACCCGCGAGCAGCGGTGATGGGCTTCCCTAGACGCAGCAGTTTTAGTCTATATAAGTCCCTACTCTTGCCGAGGTCGGCGCTGGTCCAAACGTGTGTACACCCTTTTTTCAAATTCCAAGTTGCCCATGGTCTTTCACTGACAGTTTCGACAACACACAGACGTTCCAAATCAACAATGTATCCTTCTTCATACGCCAGACTATGGAATCCCGTTCGAGGTATCGTCTTCGGCTCAGCGCGGCAGGGCGAGACGTCCCATCCGCGAGTGGACATGCTGCGTTCTCTACACACCACGACGCCAGACAACAGCCAGCCCGCAGCTGCGACGAGATCGAACGACGAAATTATCGACTCTGACAGCGATGACCTTTTCTACACCGCTCCGGAGTACCAGTCCGTATTAGACAACGTGCCCATTGCCCAGATGCCTCAAGCAGACACCGCAGGGAGTACGAAGGAGGGCAAGGTTGAGGCTGAGGGGACGGCGGCTACAGAGCCAGCAGAACCCCCGCAAACAGGCCTAGACTTCAAGATCCCTCTGCCGGCATTCCTAAAAGCCCAGAGGGCGAAAGAGAACACGGGGGAATCGTTCTGGTCTTACACACTCTTTCGCGGGCCCGAGGTAGACGGGGTCGAGCAAAAGGTCAAAGTGCACTACTGCAAGACCAAACACACCATGGAGAGAGTATGCCAGTACTTCAAGGATGATGCAGTCCTCGGGTTTGATCTCGAGTGGTTTCCGGACGCAAAGAAGACCTCGGGTCCGAAGAAGAACGCCTCTTTGATCCAGATTGCTAACGAGAGTCGGATCGCTCTCTTTCACATTGCCTTGTTCCCCAGCGACGATTTTGTCGCTCCGACATTCCGGAAGATCATGGAGGACTCTGACGTGCGGAAGGTCGGCGTGAATATCAAAGGGGACTGTACGCGGATACGAAACAACTTGATGGTCGATACGAGGGGAGTCTTCGAGCTCAGCCACTTGTATAAGCTTGTGAAGTACTCGGCAAGTGGTGAAGTTGGATTGATCAACAAGAGGCTTGTGCCTCTGGCTACAATGGTCAAGGAACACCTCGGTCTCCCCATGTTCAAGGGGCAGGATGTCCGGTCGAGTGACTGGTCCCAGTCCCTGAACATGGACCAGCTCATGTGTAAGTGCTTCCGAAATTTTTCCTCTGACGCTTGCTAACAATGCCTAGACTCCGCTTCCGATGCGTATGCTGGCTTCCAGCTATTCCATGTTCTCAATGGGAAGCGTGAGAGCCTCGACCCCACTCCACCAATCCCCTATAATGCTGAGCTCGGCCTGAGCATTCGTTTTGCCGACGGCGTCGCCCTCCCGACGACAGACAAGAAAGATTTGGAGGCCGACCCGCGGAACATCTCTGCACCTCTGTCGGCCTCGGAGTGCCAAGCAATCATGGACAGTCTTGAAGTTGAGGAAGACGGCGAGGGCCCATCCATCGCCGAGAGCGTCAGAGCCGCCACAAAGGCTGCATCGACCCAGAAGCGCCAGAAGGATGCCAGAGTCGTGGCTGCCGATGAGAAGCTGGCCGCTTACCGGAATACTATCAAGTCCCTCCGTGCCTCGCCGTCCGCCGTACGATCGTATTTTATCTGGAAGGATAACAACGACCTCACACCCGAGGCCATCGCCAAGGTCCTCCGAGACCCGCCGCTGCAGACGAACACGGTGGTGAGCTACATTCTGGAGGCTCTCAAGTTGGAGAAGCTACCGTTCGACAAGAAGCGGCTGCGAAACGAGATCCTGCACACGCTGCCGAAGGAGGTTCTGCAGGGCAGGTACAAGGCTTTGATGCTGGAGGCTCAGAAGCCCGATGCTGGGGATGCCTCCCCGGTTGCGTGAGATGAGCTCAGCTACGTATATGAAGAGGGTGGCATGACGAGTCCACGAACCAAGAAAAATACGTTGTTTAGTTCAGCATTGGATTCATGCATAATAGAGATACCCGCATTGGTTACATTCACCTCCAACAGCCCGTAAAAAACTCATAAAGGATGCAAGTGGACGCGTCAACTCTTTGTCAATTGCCGAGCCGCACATCAGCCACAGCCGCCCCTGCATGTTTCGAAACATGAATGCGGTAGGCTTCTCAATTGGTCCTCTTGCTTTGTCTTCATGATGTCGTCCATGGTGTATTCCACTGTACAATACGCACTTGCCCTTGATGGACCCTCATCCGATCCCAGGGCCCCCCTTCCCTCATAGGCACCAAAGAAGGAGCAACTCATCAACAAGCAGCGTCCGTTGTAGTCGATGGCCGAGCGCTACGATTCTTCGTATGTTGGCTCACGGTCCTACATAATGCCATGGATAACTTGGCTCTTTTGCGTGCTGAGGTCACGAGTTCGAGTTGGATTTTATTTTTTATTTTTTATTCAATTTTTTTATTCTGAGCCGCGGATGCCTCTTATTGTTATTTTCTTGGGTTCGACTAATCAGGCCTGGGATGCATATCAGTAAGCTTGTTCCGGGGGTGGCACACCACAGGAGTCGCGTTGTTTCCTGCTATTGCCTTGGTGACGTGACTAGAGGTTACACGACATGGAGATCTACCCCGTTGTCGTCACGTCGTTGGATATGTGCAAGGAGGGGAGCAAGTTTCCATGTTACGAATTGTGTATAAACTATTGGTCAAGAGATATGCACCGAGAGTGAGGAGGCAGACACAGAGAAAAAGAGATTGAAGCCACACCGGCTTCCAAATCTAGGTGGATATCTAGGTCCATCCTATTACAGCCCTGGTGGTCTACTCGGCCGGGAGGCGTTATTCGGAAGCAGGAGAGGGTACAGGACCACATCACACCCGGCAGATGAATGGGCGTTGGACGATCTCTCTCTCTCTCTCGTCACAGCCACAATCTTTCCGCGGCGCGATAACACGTCGTTTACATTATCTGTGGCTATCAGCCCATGCTTTGAGGCATTGGGGCGTTGCGTCGTCGCCCTCTTCCTCTTTGCCACATCCTCGGTTCACGTTCTAAGAATAGAAGCATATATAGAACAAAAGAACGTAATCGGCCGAGTTCAGATCGTCGTCATTGTTTGTAGAGAGTACATGTGAGATGCAGCGTACAAGTGGTACGAGATGAACTACACGTTTGGTGGCGAACGGGCTGTCGTATAATGAGAACATGGGAGATGCTAGTTACTACTTGGCCTTGAAAGTATGATTTGGTGCTTACATATAATAACACTATCTGCGCAAATATCCTGTTACGGATCATACATATTTTTGACTGCTCATCTGCTGAGGTCCGTGGCAGGTAACAATAATAATATCAGCATCAAACACTGCGACGATTACCAGTAGGAGAGAAAGTAGACATAATGGATTCTAGAGATCATGTAACAGCGAATACGAGGTAATGATCGTGTTAGTAGTCTAGATACGTTCAGACGAGTAGGTATTCCTGTCCGGTTATCCTCGCAAGTATGACGATGAAGGGTAGGTGACTTGAGCCCCCAGCCGGTATTGCTCAGAAGTCTTCGGGGCCGGTCACGATTGAGATCCGAGGTTGAAAATAGCTCGGAATGGCCGAGCGAACAGGCCTCGCAGCTTTGCAGGAAGGAAACAAGTTCGACATCATCCCGAATCCGTCGCAGCTTGCGAACGGCCTTTCAAGCAGATCATCCGATCATGGCCCGCCTGATATTTTCTGCTTATTGACGTCTTTGCCTCGCCGTCCGAAGTGTGGCATTATAGGGCTGTCTCTACATTGGAGAACTCCCCACAAACTCTAGAACCGGGATCGTGCTCGGTCCTCGCTCAAGTCGTAAGGTGATGTCTGGGTGTTCTTGTTGGAGCGCTCGGCCTGTTTTGGCGGTGCTTTTCCCTTGCGGCTCCTCCCTCTGTCATGTATTGCTTGCATGCTTCTGATCCGAGACCTTCGTTCGTGTGATCAGATTGCGAAACCAATCCGTTTCTCTTTCATTTCTTACCCGTGTTTGAGCAGCGGCGTGCGGACTTCGCCGGACATATTGCAGGCTGCTCTGACCTCCGGCTCGGTGGCCTCGGATTGTATGCCCTATGTAAGGGACGTAGTCAACTGTGGTATGAAGGGTGAATGGGTATCATCTTGGAAGTCCATTTGTTTGATACAGACCGGTCTGTTAGGCTCGAGTATCGCTGAAATATACCAAACTGGAGATGAGGCACCGGGCTGAACATAGAATGTTCCTCGGCCTATTCCTATTAAGTTGGCTTGCACAACATGCCATTCCTCATCCGTGGCGACTTCGAGGCTTGTTTCTGTTGTGTCTAGTTGCTTCTGATCCTAGGCCAAGCGTAGACAGGAGCAGTCTTGGCCGTATCCGAAGCCGTCCACGATCCCACTTGTGGATGCTGCCAACCGATCGGCTCATGGTGCTTGAAAGCTTATCGAGATAGCTGTGGAGAGCCAAGGGACCAAGCATGCCCTTCAGCTTGGTGACCAAGACTGATATCTGGACTTCCACTCGAAACCAATGGCAATCAGAAGAGCAAATGAGCAGTGGCAAGATGTGGGGCGCAATGAAGCTTAAGCCACACCCAATTTGCACCACATGCCCTGGATATTCTCGAAATCGACGAGAATCATTGTGAAAGGGCCTTTGATGTCCGTGGGGTGGTCTTTCGCCCTGTAATTTGACGTCAAGGTCTCCTGCATAGTCCAGAAGACTGTCGACGATGCAACGGCCTACAAGGGTTTCAAGAGCCTAGAGAGATTGGCAATGGGCGACTCCCTGGCTGAGGTGAGATTTGGCTGGATCTTCGGACTTTCGAAGGCCTTTTGCTGCAACCTCGGACTGATGTCAAATTCAACGTGAAGGCGCTGTGTCAACCGTAACGTAATAGCAGATGGAGAGGCATTATGCGGACAATCCCGAGACTTGAGCTTTTGTCTATGGACTAGCACACAAAGCCTGGCACTAGCTACGCGGCCGTTGTCAAATTTTCTGTTGCAGGAGGGAATCATGAAGCTGGACTTACGGGGACGCTTCAGACCTTGGCATGGCCATCTCACTGTTCAGCTAGGTCTTGCGCCGTGTGGGTCGTCTGTCTATGGTCACTAGTCGGTGAGTTTGCAGATGAAAGTGGGACGGGACCAGATCCGTCATGACATCAACCAGGGGTGTGTCCGTCAAGGAAACGGGTCTCGATGAACGCTATCAGGTCAGATATGGAGAGTCAAGACTCGGAGGCGAAATCCGTCGTTCCTGGAGGCTTGAGAAAAGACCTGCAGTCTCCAAGTAGCCCCTCGTAGAAGGAAGTAGGAACACCGACGCTTGGTGATGGATGCTGCCAAGTCCGAAGTTCATGGGACGTGACATGTGATTGTGAGTGCGAACGCGGCTGGATATGCGGAGGAAACCAACAGAGAGCATAAGTCACGGCATCAAGGCAATTAATTTCGACCGGCCGGCGGCCGCAAGCCCGGGAAGCCGCCACTGGGGACTGGAGCTACCGATGTTCAGCGGGCAACTGCCAGCGGAAAACCCCCGCTGACAAAATGCAGCTGCGAGTCGCGCGCTGCCTTCCACCCCAAACAGTTAGGGAAACCGTCACCCGTGGACGTGGCAACGAACCCCATGCCGCCAACCGCAACCGCCCAGGAAGGGAAGACGAGCGATTCAAGCAAGAGATGCCAGTGACTAGGCTGTGAGGTAAAGGGTAACAGGCCAACAGCAAGCAGGAGAAACACCAGAAATCAAAAGAAGCACTGGCCAGTCAAACGACCAAGAACGGTTGCCACACGAAACTGTCCGCCCTCCTCCCTCGCGCTAAGGTAGTGTAGTCGGGTGTTCCCAAGCCATTGTCCATCTGCCATCTGAACCACCAATCTCTAGCGTCTGCTTTCCCACTCTCTCTCAAAACTCATGCCGCAAGTCGATCGAGATAGCGCGCAGCCGCCGCTGGTCGCCGTGCGCAACGTCTGGGTGACGACTTGGGTTGCGCCTTTGGTGCTATCCAGTTGCCGCTTCCTGCATCTCTAGCGCCTCTTATCGCACTGCCGCCTGCGAGCTCCTGCAAGACGTGAGAGCCAGTGGCATTGTCGTACAGCTGCCATGACACCGACGCGTGCAACCTTCATTTGATACTTCTCTGTCTCTGAACGGAAGCAAAAAAACATTTGAACCAAAGAAAAAAGTAAGTGGAGTGTACCTGTACCGTACTCTGGAACATTGACTTTAGAGACGTCGGAAATATTCTGCATCGAGCGGGGGTAGAGACTGTATGTTTCAAGAAGTTTACCAGCGTGACATGGACTGTAAATTAAGCAGCGAATTTTTTTTTTTGAGCGACCAAAGATTCAGGGTTCCCGCCAGTCCAGGCTTGTTTCGGGGGCGGGGAAAGCTGTTGAAATGAGGAGACGTGCGGAATGCTTCTTTACCTGACGGGTTCAGCTCTACCGGTTCATGGAAGGCGCCTAGAAGACTGGGCTTTTCCTTTGTTCTCGTGGGGTTGTGTTCTTATTCATCTCAATCTGGTTCATGTCCGAGACCTACATGAAGAGTCTTTCGGGGCTTGTGCTGCGCTAATCAGCAAGGCGACGACGACGATCGGACGACGACGATCGGACGACGCAGATTGAAAGTACATTTCGTTGCATATATGGTAATCAGAGTTGGAGATGAGGCCCAGAGGGAAGTTGATGCGGTCCAGGGGTGGAAACAACCAGGTGCGGGCTGGAAATGAGAATAGCATGCGCCTGAGGTGGGAAACAAAATGGCGGTTTATGCCGCGTAGTATCCGTAGATGATTGATATTACCTTACCTTATTCACAGCTGTCGCCAACTGCGATCATAAGCCTGATGAGCACGTACCTCCATATCCATACGCAATACCGGCAAGACTTGGAAA